CAGTTTCACTTAGTAGATTTAATTGTGGTTAGTTATCAAATAAAAATCAGTGAAACTTACAGTTAATGATAAAATTAGTCAAATGTGATAATTATATTCGGTGAAAATTATAATTAGCAGTTAGAAATGAGAGAGGAAAATGATAATTGCATTTAGGATATTGATGTTATTGAACAATTTATGGTGTCAAAGAGATCTTATATGAAAGAAGAAAAAAAATGTATGAAGCTCCATTTCCAGACACTTTCTTTTGAAATAGGAAAATTTGGATTCGATAAAGTTGAAAGCCGATTCTCAAAGTCCCTTAGGGTTGGGGTAAAGTTTCTTTGCAAAGAACTTGAATTGAGAGTTGTAGAGCCAAGACACATGTCAATTTTTATAAAAGTGACAAAAGCAGAATTGACACAATTTATCAAGCTATTTTTACATTGTGAAGAAAATTATATATATATATTTTTTTTATTGAATAATAAATATCGTATATTGATATAATAATATTTATTTTTAACATTTATTTAATATCAATTTTATATGACAAAGTAAAAAAGAAAAACTAACGCTATGAATAAATAATTATTTTTCTCTGTTTTGTATATATGTATTTAAATTTAAACACTGTTTTATAATTTAAATCGATATTGTGGTGGAAATTGTTACAGGAGTTGAAATAATTAATTGAAGTGAGAATTTAAACAATAATTATATTAATTTCATGAAATTGATAATTAGCGGTTTCACATATTTGAAATATTCACATTTAAGTTGATATGAAATTCAAATTATTTTTATAAAATCTAAAAATTAAATTAAATTATTTTTTAATATAATTTTTAGATTTTTTTTATCTATTAACAATTTATTAGAAATAATATTTAATAATCAATTGAAAAGAATGGAATAAAAAAAAATAATTAAAATCGATTGATTCGCAGATTATTTTTTAAATTTAACAACTCTCGGTTTAAGTTTACAACTGTTGTTGTTGATTTCTTCTGAAGGAAATATTTCTTCGCATCCTGAGACTAATTGAGTTGTTGAGTTTTAAAAGAGAATGGAACGCTAGTTAACTTTCTCCTTTTATTTGAGAAAATAGTAAAGTTTAAAAAGCTCTCGATTTAATAGCACAATGTCATTGTAAAAAGTTTTATTTTTAGAAAAAATAATTACACAAGTCAGACAGTGATTAATTATTTTAGTTTTTTTTTAGAAATTATTATTAGACTAATTTAAATTGATTTTTTGTCGTTATTTTGGAATTAGATAAATAGTTTAGCGGTAAAGAGGTCAACTTGCCACGCGAGGGTTTTGGGTTCGATTCCTCGTGCTTGGAATTTTTTTTTTTTATTAAAAGTTTAGTTTTTTTAATTAATTAAAATTTAATAATTTATATTTTTAAATGATTTCCATGGTTTTATTTTGAATACTTTTACACAAAAATAAATAAAATCGGGATTTATGTGAAAATCATGATTTTTGAAGGTATTCGTTATATATATAGATATAAAAAAAGGAGAAAAAAGCAACAACTGCTTAAATTATCGACGGGCAGCGTTGGAAGCTCTGAATTTATTGAAAATCGATATTTACGAAATATTACCAAATAAATCACCCATGCACGGCTAACTATACCTAAAACATATAGGACTTTCTTTCACTAGCTGACTGCTCACTATTTTAAGCTTTAATCATAAACGTTGTTAACCAAGAGATATAGATATCACAATTTATTTTTATTTTTGTTCATCATATACTCTGTCTCTTCGTGCTTTTTTATATAAGTATTTAAAAAAAAAAATAATTTCCCTTTTTTTGTATTATCTTTTTCCTTCATTTTTATATTCGTTTACCTTTACTTCGTTTTTTTTTAACTTTTTACTTCCTTGTCAAGTTTGTTTATTTCATATTTACTCATTTTAAAATTAAATCTCTTAATATAATATTTTTAAAGTGTTTTTCAAATTTTTTAAAAATTGCAACAATTTTTTCTTTCACAATAAAATTTCTATAATAAAATTTTCGGCCTTTTTCCATATATATATACAAAGAAGCCATTATAAAATTCAGCTATATATTGCGCTGAATTCGTTTGAAGGTGTTTTCAAGAGAAATTCTATGTCACATTCGAAAATTTATGCCAACGTTCGTGTTATTCGTCCACGAGAGAAACCAATATCGTCGGGAAATTCTATCGAGAGAAATAAATACATATATATATACAGTTGTTGCGCTGGGTATCGAAACGAGAATATGCAAAAGAAACATGCAAGGAGAAGTCAAATAAATTTTGAAAATTCCTTCAAAAACCATTTTAGCTCCAGGCATTGTTATTGTTTCTGTCTTTTAAAGAATTTTTTTGTAACGATTTTATTTTAAAAGAATTTAAAATTTTTAAATTCTAAAATTTTTAACCTTAAATTTTATAAGACATACACGATTTTTAACTTGCAATTTGAAAAATTTTAAATAAATGATTATTTATGGTAATTTTTAAAAAAATTAAAATATGAGAAAATACCGACATAGAAATCTACCTTACCGACTGATGGTAATAGAGTGTTTCCAAAATGTAAATATAAAAATTACCGACATATAAATCTACCTTACCGACTAATGGTAAAACAGTTTTTCCAACATGCAAATATAAAAAATTACCAACATAGAAATCTACTTTCCCGACTGATGGAAAAAATTCATGTTCTCAATTTTTGTACCATCAGTCGGTAAGGTAGATTTTTATGTCGGTGATGATTTATATTTTTTATTTTGGAAAAACTGTTTTACTATCAGTAAAATAGATTTCTGTGCCGGTATTTTTATTTTTCAAAAACTGTTTACCATCAGTCGGTAAAGTAGATATCTGTGCCGGTATTTTTATATTTGAAAAATTGTTTTGCCATCAATCGGTAAAGTAGTTTTCTGTGCCAATATTATTATTTTTCAAAAACTGTTTACCACCAGCCGGTAAGATAGATTTCTGTGCCGGTATTTTTATATTTGAAAAACTGTTTTGCCATCAATCGGTAAAATAGTTTTCTCTGCCGATATTATTATTTTTCAAAAACTGTTTACCATCAGTCGGTAAAGTAGATATCTGTGCCGGTATTATAATTTTTCAAAAACTATTTACCATCAGTCGGTAAAGTAGATATCTGTGCCGGTATTTTTATATTTGAAAAACTGTTTTGCCATCAGTCGGTAAAGTTGATTTCTGTGCCGATATTTTTATTTTTCAAAAACTATTTACCACCAGCCGGTAAAGTAGATTTCTGTGTCGGTGATTTTATATTTTCTGTCAGTAATTTTTATATTTTTATTTTTCAAAAAATTTACCATCAGTTGATAAGGTATATTTCTATGTCGATAATTTCTTATATTGGAATTTTTCAAAAAAATACCATCAGTCGGTAAGGTAGATTTCTAGGTCGGTAACTAAAGAAATTGTAGCTAAAACAATGGTATTTAGAAAAATAATACATGAAGACAGTGGTACCTAGAATAATAGTAACCAAAAGACAATGGTAACTAAAGACAGTGGTAGTTAAAATAATGATAATTACAGTCAATGGTAGTTGGAACAATGGTATAAATTTAGATAGTGGTTGTTAAAAACAATGGTAGTTTAAAAAAGAAAACAACAAAAATTTTCCATTAAATTTTGTGAGACAGAAATAGTAATTCGAACAAAATATTGAAGCAAGAGATCATGTCCCCTTTTGTGTGTGTTTGTATGTGTGTGTTAATAAAAAAAAAGGAGAGGACCGTACATACATATAAATACGAATAAATGTGAAGCTTTCCAGGAGATATTACTTCCTTTAAAGGATGTAATTTTCCTTAAACTAACAGGTGCACTATATACGCGTCCGTCGGAATGGAAAAAGAGAAAAGGAAAGGGAAAACGTAAAGAAAATGTCGAAAAGAGAGAAGCTAAACGAGAGAGAGAACATATATATATATATATATATATATATATATATATATATATACGTGTGCGAGGAGGAAAAGAAAGCTTTAGTTCATGGCTTGCACGGTTATACACGTCTACTTACCGGGGTAATGTTGCCTCGGTCAGCCTCCTACTTCTTCTCACAACCATTGTATATATAGAGAATAGTTATTTTCAACATGTGTATTTTTTTTTTATTTTATAAACTATATACACTTAAAATTGAGTTAATTTTTTTTTGCATTTTTGTTTTTATATACAGGGTGTGATTTTTATTTTCCGGACTTTTTTTTAATTACGTCTTTTTTTTTTTGTTTAAAAACGAAACAAATTTTTTTAGGAACATAAAAATTATCCTGTTTAAATTGTATTTTAACGATGTGTAAATATTATAAATAATTATTTTTATTTTCTCTATTATAAACTTTTTGAGAAGTGAAAAAAATTTTTTTTTTTTGAGAGAGAGAGTTAAATTTATGTTTTTATAACTTTTACTATATATCGTCTAGTTATTATATACATATATATATATATATTTTTTCTTTTTTTGCTTTCCCTCATTTCACGCAGCTTTTATCTTTATTAACTTCCTGAAGGTGATATCGTGGAAATTAGTTTTTCTCTGACATCGAGATGAGGTAGATTTTTTTTTTTTACGTTTTTTCCCCAGTATTCGTGTGCTGAAGAAAATGCATGATGAGAACAGATGGCGGTAATGAGGGTACTTGTAGTTGATTCTTTATTTCTTTATTCCTTAATGACTCGAGTAATTTTCTTTACTCATTAATAATGAGATAGTAGCACAATAATAAATGTTTAATAATTATAATAATAAAAAAATATTAATAAAAATAATAATATAATTACTATTTTTTATTATTATTATTATTATTATTATTTTTATAATATTTTTTTACTATATTATAATTTACCATGTTTTGCAACTATTTACTTGTCTTATGTTTCTGTTATGTTAGTGTCAAATTTATTTAATATTATTTTGATTTTTTGTTGATATATATATATACGCTAAGAGAAATGTAATTAATTTCAGAACTATGCGAAGAATGGGCTTTGGCAAATAGTCGAGAATGTGTTGAGAAAAGCGGTGTCTTGAGTACAGGACACGAGACTGATGATGCTTCAGAGGCAAGATTTACTCTTAAATATTTAGGAAGCACCTTGGTTGAGACACCTTCCAATGAAGAGGCAACTGCCGAAGCCATAAAAACGATTATTACAATGGTAAGCGAATTGTCTTATTTCAAATTTCAAAATATATAAATTTTATTTTATTTTTATTTATTTTTTGTGGCGATATTTATATATATTTTTTTTGTTGGTCTTTATATGTAGTGAAGAATCTACAATTTGATTTTAATTGTTCCCCATATAAACGTGTGCCAAACTCATTAAAAAGACAAATGCAATGGATGTAAATTATGATAATAGAGTTGATCTTGCGGGAAACAAGGCTATAAATTAGTTGGCAAAGTGCCTAAATTTTGTATGACCCTCTGCTTCTTGTTCTAAAGGCGCATATAGTATATACAGATTTTATATTGAATTGTTTCTTTTCAGATTTTTTTTTTTTTTTTTTTATTAAAAATTTTGATTTATTCTAATTTAATCGAATTTTAATTTCACAGAATTCTCATTCAATAGTAGAATTTTAAGAAACTCGAATTTTGAAATAGCAAAATTTTCTATTTAATAGAATTCATAAACCGACGAATTTTAACCGAAATTGTAAATGTCCGAACAAACATAACCTAGAAAAAGAATTTGCCACGATATTTAAAATTCAACCAATCACAATATTGACCATTTTTGATTGGTCGAATTTTAAAAATCGCGCCAAAATCTTCTTCTAGGTTCGAAAAAGAATTGTACTAAATTAAAATTCGGTTATTTAAATTTTATCATTTTTTTTATTTTATTTTTTTGACGGAAACTTCTAATTGGAATGACGATGTTTAATTATTTAAATACATATCCCTCCTCTGAAACATGTATTCAACAGTTTCTCACAACCTTTGGGGGATTCGAAACTAATAGCACTTCTTGAGTTTGCATGATGAAGAGGCTTTTGTTTAACTGGAATAAGGTTAATTAGACGAAATTAGTAACTCACAGGATGTGCCATTGCTTGAACAGAACATTCGTACAAATTTCTACTTAACTTGTCGACCGTGCTGAAAACATGTTTGCTATATAGCAAAATGGTACACCTGCTATTGCACACTCTGCAATTTACTCCCAAACTGCAATGAACATTAAATTTGTTTCATAACTATTAGTGGTCTCTAATTTCTGATTAGAAATCCTTCGTACTTTTTTTTCTATAATATCTTTCTAATTAATTTCTACTTTTCATTATTATTAAAATATATTTAAAAGACTTAGAATTTTGTTATTATTTTGTTTTTTCAAAAAATAAAAAATTTTTTTAATTAATTCACACTATATTAATTAATTAATAATATAACAATTAAATTAAATTATAGAGTGTATTAATTTTATGTTTTTAAATTCAATTTTAAATTTTTTTTGTGAATTATTACATTTACTATAAATTTAAAGTATAATAACTGGTGAAGTAGGGAAGTGATTTGGATTTTTTGTTAAAAATTCGTAGCGTGCGTTCTTGGTTAGGTGGTTAGTGTATCGGTTTGCGGACGTTAGGATCGTGGATTCGATTCCCGGCGCTTGGGAATTTTTTCCAAAATTATTGATTACAGTGTACAATTTTTAGAATGTACAATGGTAGATAAAATAAGTAGAATTTGCGTAAAACGGTAGTTACAATAAAATAATTAAATGGTAGATTATTAAAATTAACGATAGGAACAACGAAGTTCAATGGTAGTAACTACCATTCATTGTGACTACCATTGATTCTAACTACCATAATTTCAAACAATAGTAGAGGCAATCAATGGTAGTTATAGTTAATAGTAGTCAGAATCAATGGTAGTTACAATGGTATGGTATTTAAAAAAATGGTAACTAAAGACATTGGTAGTTAAAAGAATTCTAGTTGAAACAATGGTAGTTAAAACAATTTTAGTTGAAAAAATGGTAGTTAAAACAATGGTAGTAAAAACAATGGTAGTTAAAACAATTCTAGTTGAAACAATGGTAGTTAAAAAATAGTAGTTGAAATAATAGTAGTTAAAACAATGGTAGTTAAAACAATTTTAGTTGAAAAAATTGTAGTTAAAACAATGGTAGTAAAAACAATTCTAGTTGAAACAATGGTAGTTAAAACAATTCTAGTTGAAACAATGGTAGTTAAAAAATAGTAGTTGAAATAATAGTAGTTAAAACAATGGTAGTTGAAACAATGGTAGTTGAAATAATAGTAGTTAAAACAATGGTAGTTAAAACAATTTTAGTTGAAAAAATTATAGTTAAAACAAAAAGCAATTCTAGTTGAAACAATGGTAGTTGAAATAAGAGTAGTTAAAACAATGGTAGTTAATAACATGGTAGTTGAAACAATGGTAGTTAAAACAATGGTAGTTAAAAAATGGCAAATTCAAAATAAATAGTTCAGGAAGATTTGAAGAAAATTTTTGACTTATATTATTTTTTTAGGCAAAAGTCAGCAGCAGAAAGTTGCAAAGGGTTTCTCTGGCGATCAGTTTAAGAGGAATCAGAATGACTGATCTTGCAACGGAGGAAGATCAACTCCAGGTTTCCATTTACAGGTAAAATTACTTATTTGTAGAAATTAACTATTATTATTATTTTTATTCATTTCATTTATTATTATTATTATTTTTTATTGGTATTATTATTTTTTTTAATTATATTTTTATTATTTTTTATTATTTTTTTTTATTACTGTGCGACTTATTACTTTAAGAAAAATCTTTCTCCTCCTCCTCCTAGTTCGAGATATTCGATTAATTTTTATATTTATTTATTTATTATTAATTTATTGATATAGCGGATAAAATGGAGCGTGATACATAGCCTCCTCTCCCACCCCCTTAAATAAGTTATCGCGTAATATATTTATAAAATACATGAATGATAACCTCATTATTATCGTTGTTATTATTAATTATTATTTGTTTTGTTTTTTTTTTTATTGTCAGAATCTCGTATTGTTCGGCGGACGCAACTCACGATCATGTATTTGCATTTATTGCAACAAATCTCAATGAAACAATGGAGTGTCATGCATTTTTGTGTCCAAAACGAAAAATGGCACAAACAGTGACATTGACTGTTGCACAAGCATTTAATACTGCCTATGAGGCTTGGCAATTGTCACAAAATGATCCTCGACTTCATCACACCAAGGATAAAAGTCCATCACTCACTGAAAGTATAATTATTGGTAAGCTCTATATTTTATATTTATTTAAAAAAAACAACAACAAAATTTCTAATTTATAAATGAATTTTAATTTACTTATTTTAATTTAATTTTTAAATCATTAAAAATAAAAAATAGAATTAATGCAAATATTCAGAAAATTAATATTCAACTAAATAAATATGAATAAATATTCAAATAATCAAAAATAAATAAAAAGAAAATAAAAAGAAATAAAATTTAAAAATATTCGAGGCTAATTTTTTTATAGTACATTTCGAGTAAAATGTTATAAACCTTTTCATTGGTATTCAGTATTAAAACTAAAGTTAACTTATACACACTTGACTGCTTCACTCGCTGCTTCATATATAAAATGGGGTTTTTGCAATAAAAATATTTTTACTAGATATCCCGGGATAGTAAATTTAGAATCGGATTTTCATTGATAACACATGAAGCTTACGCGAAAGAAAGATGCACGGAATAGAGTTTGTTGAATATAGAAATAGAGAGAGAGAGAGAAATATATAAAAAGCGAGAAATGCTTTTTTATTCAAATTGTATGTCCGTGCTCATGAATTATATGGGATTATAAGAGAGAATATGATGTTGAGCTCACATGATCTATATATATATATATATGATTTAATTTCAAAAAAAAGAACAAAGAAAAAATCTAAAAATAATGAAGTTATATTTTCTTTTCTCTCGTTGAGATCGTATAATACGTAATTAATTTTTCACAAATTTTTAAAAATATTACTGTTTCTTTATTTTATGAAAATATTTTTATTTTATTTTATAAAAATATTTTTATTCTATTGCATAAAAATATTTTTATTTTATTGCATAAAAATATTTTTATTTTATTGCATAAAAATATTTTTATTTTATTTTATTAAAACACTGAACAAAACAATTTATTTTTATTCAAATAATCGATAAATATTTACTTGAAACAAATAATATTGATTTGAATTAAATTTTATTTGAATCAATATAATTTTTCTACTTGCGAAAGAAATAACATTTAATTGACACAAAAATTATTTATTTCAAGGAAATATAATTTTTTTTTGAAAAATGAAATTATAAAAAAAATTACCGACACTGCAATCTACCTTACCGACTAATAGTAATTTTTTGAAAAAAGAAAATATAAAAACTTACCTTACCGACTGATAGTAATTTTTCCGAAAATGAAAACAATTAAATTACCGACATAGAAATTTACCTTAGCTATTGATAGTAAAACAGTTTATTTGAAAAATGAAAATATAAAAAATTACCGACACAGAAATTTACTTTACCGACTGATGGTAAAAAATTTCTGACGAAATTGTAGGTATATTTTACCATTAGTTGGTAAGGTAGATTTCTATGTTGGTATTTTCATTTTTCAAAAAATTACCATCAGTCGGTAAGGTAGATTTCTATGTTAGCATTTTTATACTTTTATTTTTCAAAAAATTACTTTTAGTCGGTAAGGTAGAATTCTGTTTCGGTAAGTTTTTATATATATTTTCTTTTTTCAAAAAACTGTTTTACCACCAGTTGGTAAGGTAGATTTCTGTGTTGGTATTTTCATATTTTTATTTTTCAAAAACCGCTTTACCATGAGTTGGTAAGGTAGATTTCTATGTCGGTATTTTTATATTTTCATTTTTCAAAAAATTACCATCAGTCGGTAAGGTAGATTGCAGTGTCGGTAATTTTTTTTATAATTTCTATGTTGGTATTTTTATACTTTTTTCAAAAAAATACTATTAATCGGTAAGGTAGAATTCTGTTTCGGTTAGTTTTTTTATATATTTTCTTTTTTCAAAAAACTGTTTTACCACCAGTCGGTAAGGTAGAGTTCTATGTGGGCATTTTTTATATTTTCATATTTAAAAACACCATCAGTCGGTAAGGTAGATTTCTGAGTCGGTATTTTTATATTTTCATTTTTCAAAAAAATTACCATCAGTCGGTAAGGGAGATTTCTATGTTGGTATTTTTACGCTTTTATTTTTCAAAAAATTACTATTAATCGGTAAGGTAGAATTCTGTATCGGTAAGGTTTTTTTATATATTTTCTTTTTTCCAAAAAAAAACTGTTTTACTACCAGTCTGTAAGGTAGATTTCTATGTCGGCATTTTTTATATTTTCATATTTAAAAATACCATGAGTTGGTAAGGTAGATTTCTGAGTCGGTATTTTTAATATTTTCTTTTTTTTATTTTTATATATTAAAATTAATTAGAAAAAAAAGAAACTAGTAAATATAATTATTGGATAAAATTAAATTTTTTAAAAAACAATTTAATTAATTTTATAAACCATTTTATTTACCAATAAAATTTGTAAATTTACCTAGAAAATTATAAATTTCAATCATAAAATTATAAAATTTAATCATTTAATTGTAAATTTTAATTATAAAATTAATTAATGTATAATATGAAATATTGCAAAAATTTTCTATAATTATACGTGAAAATGATCAGACTGATATTTATTATGATTACGCGAACGAAAATGAATATGGAGTGTGTGTGTGTGTATATGGTATATATGAGAATTCACGAACTCGGACAGGTGAAGAGTAGCATTAAATTGCCATAAATAGGGAATTCAATATGGACCATTAACTGAGGATATCGTATATACATAGAGAGAGAGATAGAACCCGAATGGTTGTGTGTATATATTCTCTTCCACTTCTCGGTATTCAAATTTGCTCATTATCATACTGCACGTAACCAGTATGTGTAGCAGAGGTCTTTGCATAATGTAATTCGCCAATAGCGTTGCTCTCTCTCTCTCTCTCTCTCTCTCTCTCTCTGTCTCTCTCTCTCTCTCTCTCTCTCTCTCTTTCTCTCTCTCTCTCTCTCTCTTTATCCTCTGTTTTCCCTCGATTATTCTTAATTTTAAATTAACTACCTACATCCCAAAACTAATTTTCTTTCACAAAATCGAAATATTTTCATTTCTAAACTTTTTACTGTTATTTTTATTATAACTAGATTCTCTACTCTTTTTTTTTTTTTTTCTTTTTTATTAATTAATCCACTTCTCTATTATTTGAAATTACATTTTTTATTCTTTATTTCAGAATATGAAGAGAAGGCAACAAAAGAAAATAAATCCAATGAAAATCAAAATGAACAAAATAAAAAAATAAAGAAAAATAATAATAGTAGTAATGAACCGCAAAAAAATTTACTCATTGATCTCACTAATGACGTGAAACCCAAGGAAAATTCATGGGTAAGAAAAAAAATTCTTTTAAACTCATTTTTGAGAATTTTAATTTAAAAAAAAAATATTTAATAAATTTTTTTTTTTTTTTGTAGGTTTCTTTTGAAGATGATGTGTCAGAGTGTAAAAAAATTGAAAAAAATAGTCCCGCAAATAATATTCCAATGACAACATTGAGGCATGCAACGTCATCAACTCCATCGCATCATGTTGTACCGAGACCATCGCCTGGATTCAAAATGCAAAATGCTTGGGGCGAATCTCGTTCACTTGATTTAATGTGCTCGTAGCAATCGTAGCTTACGGCCGATAGCTTTCAAGACGTTCCTCTAATCACGGGTCTTTGGAAGCAACTTCTTACTATTAATCAGACCAAAAAGACCAAACAATAGTTGAAAAATTTTCAATCACAAAAAGAACAAAAAAAAGCATACGGTAAATAATTTTTTTCAATTTATTTACTTTCTTTTTTAAAAAAAATGCCAGAGCATAATTTTTTTAAAATTAATTTTTTCTAATTTTTTTCTTCAATTTCTTTTTAAAATGACAGAAAATAATTTTTTTCTTTACTTTTTTTTTTAAATGCCAAAAAATAATTTTTCTAATTTTTTTTAAATGTTTTTAAATTTTTTGAAAATTAAATTTTCTAATTTTATAAAAATAATTAAAAATTTTTTTTTTTTGAAAATCTCATTCAAAAATTAAAATTAACTCAGTTTTAAAAATCAATTATCGAATTGTTTCGCTTTATTAAATTTTTATTTATTTCGAAAATTAGAAATAATTGTAAGTATAAAAATATTATTCTTTTTAAATTTTGAATCTTTTTTTCTTATTTCTAACGCTATTTAGAAATTATCAATAGCTAAAAAAAAAATTCTTAAAATTTAATGGACTTCGATTAATTAATAAAAAATTGAGAATTTGTTTAATATAAAAAGTTTTTATTTATCAAAAAGAAATTACTCTCTGGCTATTTTAACAAATTTTTTTATATTTCGAATTGTTTTCAAATTTTTAAATATTTTTCAAATATCGAAATTTTTCATGGGATTTTTTTTCCAAATTTTCTATAAAAAAAAAAACTTGCTTTATTAAACTGTTTCTTTTTTTAATGGAAAAATAATATATTCTTTCAACTAATTATAATTTACAATGAAGGTTTTTTTTTCAAACGAAAAAAATTACAATTTAAAAAATATCTAAAAATAAAACTAACAAAAGAAATACAGAAGAATTGTATTGCCAAAAATCGTGTTTTTTTAAAATTAAAAAAAATTTGAATTTATTTTCGTAGATAATTTATGTATAATTTAAAAACGATCGAATTTTATAAAATGAGATTAAATTTCTAAAGCTGATAAAAAAAATAAAACTTTTTCAACTTAGGGGGTAAAAAGTGTGAACATTCTCGAATCTTATATATAAACTAGCATCAAAAGGAGATTTTTCTCTTTAAACGACTTCTTTTTCTTTTCGATCTGAAAAAGAAACAACTAGAGAGAGGGGTTTATACTCGTGAGTCCTCGACAAGTTGTGAACCTAGATAAATAAAACTTTTATTATTAACTTCCAATTTCTTGAAAAATTTTTATATGAAGTTATACTCTTTTTTTTATGCAAAATAGCAATTGTCCTTTTAGAATACAATTTTCGAGGGATTAATAATTAATAATAGAGAATAAAATTTTTTTAAGATTAAATTTTTTCTATGTTAAATAAAAATTAAAAAAATATCCATTTTATTTAACAAAATAATTTAATTTGCTTTATTATAAATTCAAACGTAATTAATTGGAAAATATACATTCAAATAATAAAAGTTTGAATTTACCAAAAATTTGATAAATTTATTTACAAAAAATAATTTGATGATGTTGGCTTTATAAAATAAATAATATTTTAAGATAATTAATAATTATTTATATATTTAATGAAAAAAAAACGAAATTTATTATTAAGAAAAATAAATAGAATTTATTGTCAGAGAATGTGAATTTAACTCTGGGAGGAAAGTAAAACTTTAATTTAAATAGAAACTTAGTAATTATTGGATAAAAAATAATTTTTTTACTAATTAGTAATAAATGATTTCAGATTTTTATTCAATTAAACATTTTTTAAGTTTTCTAAACCAATTTATTTGCAAATGTTTACTGAAGTAAAATTTAGTTCACTAATTAAAATTAATTTATAATATTATAACTTAATCTTAATTATTAAGTTTTAAATAATTATAATTTTAGTAAAAGAATTTTTTTTTTCAAAATAAAAATAGACTGATTGTTTATTTCATTAAAATTATACTATTTGAAATTTTGATTTTCCGTATTTTTCTTAAATATCGTTGGTAACATTGAAAGAGACGTAATTAATTAATTACTTATAATAGCAAAAAAAAAAAAAATTAGAACACTCGTTAATTAAAATCTATCGTTAGATTCTATAACGACTTAAAATTTCCTCTATTCATTAATATTAAACTAGGAAATAATTCAATTTTATACATTGTGTGATATTGAATTTATGAAAAAAAAAAAAAATTTAATAATTGTTACAATTTGTTTCTAATGTAAAAATTAATTAGATAATAAATTATAATTTATAGAAATTTATTAAATAATCGATGCTTGTATGTAGGTAGAAAGTAATTAATTTTAATTAAAATTAATTAAATACAAAAAAAAATTTATTAAGTTTTTGACTGATTTTTTGGTAACAAGTTTTTCATTCTTTATATATGAATAAAAAAAAATTTGTATGATTTTCTAAAATAATGTGTTCATATATAAACGATTTATATAAATCAAATGAAAATGTTAAATAAACTTTTTGTTTATTTACTTCATTTTGATAAACAATTTTAAAAAAAATATATACGTATATAAATTACAGATATATATATATATATAAATTAATATTTATATAAATTAACATTTATATAAATTAAATTTTTACATAAACGAAATTAATTTATATTTACGATTAAAGAATTTTAACAAATTCTTTATAATAGAGTTTAGGGTAAAAAATAATTAAATGTTTACGTCAAATAATTACACGACTAATTATTATATGTAATTCAATTTAAAAAAAAAAATATGTAAATCTAAAGTATCCTCAAATACATATCTCAAATAATTTATTGTATTTATTTAAATTTTTACCTACTTTATATTATGATAATTAATTAATTTTATTTTATCAATTAATTATGTTTCGTATAAATAAATTATAGACAAAAAATAATATTCAAATAATAATATTATAATTAACATTATTAATATTTTAAATTTTATTATGAGAGATTACAGAAATTTATTTAAATTATGGCGCTCTTTTTCAAAATGGCGCCCAACACGTGTTTTCTGCTATATGTGGCAACGTCGCTTTGATTGTTGTATTTGTGTTTGTTATTATTTGTTCTTTTATAAGTTTTTTGTGTTTATAAATAATATAATTAATGTTTAACGCAATAATCTGTGATATTTTTAATTAGAATTATATATACTCAAGTCCTTTAAGTGTAACTTATCGATAATTGCAATATATCTTCTAATTATTAATTACAAGAAACCACAAAAAAATTAACATAATGGAAACAAATTTAATAACGAGTGTGTAAAAATATATATATAATTTTTTAATTATTACTTATTAAGTAAATTATTACTTAAATGTTCAAAGCAAATTTAATCTGTGAAATGTAAGTTTTACATAATTTTTTTTTTGAGGTTATGTGTAAATGTCAAATGGTCAAATAATTTTTTATTTTCTTATAATTTTTGTCATTTATTTTAAAGTTAATAACAAAATAAAGTACTTTGATTATTTATGTTTAAATTCAATGGATATTTAAATAAATTCAAATTTTCACTTGGAAATTAACAAATTTAATTAAAAATAACCTTTAAAACAAACTGTCATTTAGCATACATATATATTCCTATTTTCATGAATAATGTGTTTTATCACTAATATCTATAAATTTTTTTTGGATATATATGTTAATTAACATCTATAAAATTAATAATAATAATAATACTTAAAAGTATAAAACCATTAAGTCACGTGATCACTATAATGTTAATTTCTCCAATATATTTATGGTAAAATATTGAATAAATTAAGCGAAAAGTTTGTTAAAAAATCTAAAATATAATAAAAATAGTCAAGTGATGTAAATAATTATTTATAATTTTCATGGAAAAATTGTTAGATAATTTAGTATGTAAAAGTGAAAGTACTTTTTGAATTTTCTTTTTTAAAGTAAATTAATTTAAAAGAATATTCTTACTTTTGCACAATAATGTTCATTTTATTTATTTTAATTTTGTAAAAAAAAATTTCATCTAAATTCAAACAGTATATTTTATCGAGAAATTAGAATTACGGCGATCACGTGACATACAATAATCAATTCAATTAACTTTTATTAATTTAAACTAAATTGTTGTCTCATAAAATTGATCTCCTCATCTATATACAGTTGTGAAATCACCTTAAAAGAGCAAAGTACAAAACAAACCAGTCATGCAAAAATTCTCATCTGTTCTTTCGAACTTTAATAAATTACCGGTAAGTTAAAATCTATAGATATCTATATACAATATGTTTTGCTTATTAATGTAAAATAATTTGAAAATTTCAAATTTAACGCTTTTAATGAGGTCTTATTATCGAATTCAATTTATAAAATTGAATTATTATAATTTTTAATTAATTAATTTCTTTTTTTTCTATAGATAATTAGAGGATTAAAATTTAAACCTCCAAAAATGCAACAGGCATTATCAATAACATCTTTGCAACTTAATCAATTTTCTATTCCGAGGCAACCTGTGCCTGACATGAAAAAAACCGCTGAGAAATATTTAATGTAGATAAAATATTTTTATATTATATTTTTATTTATTATATTATATTTTTATTTTTTTATAATTTTTTTTTAATTATTTAGTATTATTTTGTTTTAATTGAAATTATTTTTTTCTACCAACTATAAATTAATTTTCATATTTAATCAAATAAAATAATAATTTTCAGATCATTAAAACCACTATTAAATGAGGAGGAATTTTCCAATACCGAGAAAATTGTTAATCATTTTATTAGTGAAAATGGACCTGGACCAATTTTATACAAAAAATTACAAGAGAGATACGATAAGACTGAAAATTGGGTAAGATTTGTTTTTTTCAATCAAAAGTTAAAATTTTGTGAAATTTTAATATTTTTTTCATAATTACAAAATTTTTTTGATATAGAGAAGAATTTTGCAAAAAAAAAAAAAATTTCTTTCGTTAAAACAAAAAAAAACTTATCGTTAAAAATTAGTTTTTTCGAATGTGAAAAAATTTTTAAATAAAATTCTTTTATACAGATGAATAAATGGTGGTTGAGAGAAGCATATTTAGGCTATCGTACACCGGTAATTGTTCATTCGAGTCCAGGAATAATTTCTCCACAACAAAATTTTCAAAACCTTGACGAAATGCATTCGTTTGTAGCTCGTTTAATTGAAGGTGTATGTAAATACGACGCTATGGTCAAAAGGTAGAATTTGAAAAAAAGAAACTAAGATTCTTTTAATTAAGATTAAAAATTTTTTAAATTATTATTATTTTTTATTTATTATTTTTTTTTTATTAAATTTTAAGATTCTTTCTTTTTTTTTCTTTTTTTTATAATTTCATTAAAAAAAAGGATTAACTAATTTTAATTAAAATTGCAAATATTTATTTTCTTTTTTTACGTTCAGTGGAAAAATTAAACAGGAAATGGTTCGTAACGAACCTCTTGATATGCTTCCCTATGGTATGATACTCGGCACTCATCGTCAGCCTAATCGAAAAGTTGACAATCTTTTGCATACAGATTTTGCAAATCATATAATAATCATCTCCAATAATCGTGTAAGAAATTTTATATTTATTTACTCTTGACAATATTTCGTAATCAATTTTTTATTCAGTCTTAGGATTATTTAGTTATTATGATTATTATTATTAGTAGTAGTAGTAGTATTATTATTATTATTATTATTATTATTAATATTAGTAGTAGTATTATTATTAGTATTATTATTACTATTATTAGTATTATTATTTAGTTACTTTATTTAACAATTGACACATTTTATGCAAATCATTATTTGCTTTATTTAATAAATAATCGCATCTAATCATATTTATTTAAAAAAAATTGTTAATATTTCCTTTGTAAATTTGGGACTTTCGATTTAATGCGAAATTTTTTTGGGGGTTTCGTTCGTTATTTTTCTCTCTTAAAGGGAAATTTATTATTGAAACATTCAAAAAATATTTTCATAAGTCTTAGAATTAATATAAAAAATTATTATATATATATATATATATATACATTAAAATTAGAAATTATTTCATAATAATAAAATAATTTATTTTGCAGATTTTTAAAGTAAATCTCCTGCATTGTAATAAACCATTGACTGAAAATCAATTAAAATCTTCTATTAAAGATATAGTAAATCGTTCAAATGTCCCTGGAAAACCAATTGGAATTTTAACAGGAAACGATAGAGATACTTGGGCAGAAAATCATGAAATACTTAAAGGTAAATTTAATAAATACCGCCAATAAAATGAAATAAATAAATAATAATAATAAATAATTTATTAATCGCAAAATTAAATATTCAATAACTTAATGGATTACCCAATTAACAAAATAATAAGTTAATCTTTTAATTAACTAGTTGATTGAATAATTAATTAGGCAATTAAATAATAATTTAAATTTCAGTAGACAAAATAAATAAATTTTTTTTTCGAAATTATAGAAATTGGTTCCAATGGGAAAATACTTAAAGATATTGAATCGTCTTTATTTGTTCTTTGTTTGGATAAACAACTTCCAAATGATGCGTTTAAAACAAAAAATAATGAATCTGTAAGATCAGTTCAATCAATGACTGGTTATAGTTCTTCCACAAATTCCGGAAATCGATGGCATGATAAAACACTTCAGGTAAATTAATTAATTAAAATATAACGAATATTCATTATTTAATATTTATTGATATTAATTTTAATTTATTTAATTAAAAAAAAATTGTTTTCAATTTATATGAAAATTAATATTTAATCCTATGAAATTAATAATTTATTTAATTTATTGAAAAAAGTAAAAATTATATTAATTTGATTAATTTAATAATTGAAATTTTTTTCTAGTATATAATATCTTGTGATGGATTTGTTGGATTAGAATATGAACATAGTCCATGTGAAGGTGGTCCCGTCGCTGTTCTTCACGATTTTGCGTTAAATAACGCGTAAGAAATTTTAAGTTTTTTAAAACATAATTATAAAAACAAAAAAAGAAGAACAAGAAAATATTTAGTAAAGAAGTATTTTAATATAAAAAAATAGTTATTATTAAAATTAATAAATTGTTAATTAAATTAATAATAAAAAATTAATTAATTATTATAAAATTAGTGTAATTAAAATTCATAAATTTCAGGACGAGTAAAATGAACATTGAATGTGAAGAAGCGAAAGATTTCCCACAAGCAGAGGAATTAAATTTCGAATTAAATGACAAAATTGAAAAAGCAATTAAAGAAGCCACAATAGCAGTCGATAAGTAATATTTCATTTTTTTTCTAGATTAAAAAAAAAAATTAATTAATTTTATTCATTTAATTTATTTTTCCTTTTTTTTTTGACAGAACTTCCGCAAATACTGACATGGAATGTTTCACTTTCAAAGATTTTGGCACTGATGTAATAAAAAAATGTAAATTCAGTCCCGATAGTTTTATACAAATAGCAATGCAAGTGACATTTTATAAATTGCAAAAAAAACCACCAGCACACTATGAATCAGCGGGTCTTCGTAGATTTATTAATGCAAGAACTGAATGTATACGATCGACAAGTTGTGAATCTGTTGAATTTGCAAAATTAGTAAACTCAAATTGTGATAACATTAGTGAAAAGAAAAAAGCATTAATTAATGCAATTAATATGCATAAAAAAACTGCCGGTGAGGCAGCAATGGGCGAAGGAGTCGATAGATTTTTCTTTGGACTTAAAATGATAGCAAATGATGAAAAAATGGAAATGCCGGAATTTTTCAAAGACATTGGTTGGACTAGAAGCACATCTTTTACATTGACTTCCAGTCAGGTAAGAGAAAATAAATTTTTCCTTTCTATATTTAAAATAAATTATTTTCTAATAAATTATTTAAGAATAAATATTATTTTTAATTAATTTATTCTTAAATTTTAATCTCAAAAAAATGTATCAAGAAGAAATTATATATTGTTAATTAATTTTAGGTGCCTTTTAAGAGTGCCTCAGTTATGTGCTATGGTCCAGTTACTCCAAATGGTTATGGATGTTGTTACAATCCAAGAAAAGACGACATTCTTTTCGCTTGCTCTTCTATGAATGATAGTCCCGAAACTTGTACAAAATCTTTCGCGGAAACATTACAAGATAGCTTACGTCTAATGAAAAAAATTGCCCAAGAATAAAATTAATGTAATTATTTCAAATTGTGTAAAATTTAATTGTGTAAGATTTAACATTATTTTTTATTATAAAAAAAATGTGTAATATTTCTCATTATAGAATTTATTAATAAATTAATTAATTTGTTAAAAATAATAATTACCTAATTATTTTTATTATGGAAAAAAGTTAAATCAATTTAATTGATTAAAAGTAAATTATTCTTGTAATTATAAAAATTATTTAATTTTTAAAATCGTAAGTAAAAATATTTTATTTGTTATAAATTTTGTTATTTGTTTTTTTGTTTGTTTTTTTTTGTTTTTTTTTTAAGAAAAATATTTTTACTATTACAATGTCTAAATAATTTACTACTATGTAAAACTATTTTATTTTTTCTTTTACCTTATTATAAGTGAACTTGTTTTTTATCTTTATGATAAAGCAGGTATTCCTTTTCTTTTATGTAATGTTTTTATTTATAGTTATTGTGTTAATTTGATAAACGTGTTAGTATAAAATCATTAAATCTAAAATATAATAAAAATAAGTCATTGTAGTAAAAAATAATTATTTTTTTTAGAAAAATTTGAAAAATTTGTTAGAAAATTTAATATGTAAATGTGTCGGTAATTTTTGCGAATTTTCTTTTTTAAGAAAATTAATATAACAGAATATTCTTACTTTTGGACATTATTGTTTATTTTTTTTTATATTAATCTTGTAAAAAAATTTCATCTTAATTCATACAGTATTTTTTATCGAGAAATTAGTATTATGGCGATCACGTGACTTATACAATAATTAACTTTATTATCTTTTATTTATTTAAACTTAATTGTTGTCTCATGAAATTAATCTTGTTATCTACAGTTAAGAATACACTTTAAGAGAGCAAAATATAAAACTAACCAATCATGCAAAAATTCTCATCTATTCTCTCGAATTTACATAAATTACCGGTAAGTTAAAATGTATAGAAATCTATATACAATATGTCAGACTTGTAAAAGTAAAATAATTTGAAAATTTCAAACTCTAAGCCTTTAATGAGGTATTAATTTTTAAATTGAATTTTTAATTAATTAATTTCTTTCTTTATAGTTAGTTAGAGGATTAAAATTTAAACCTCCAAAAATGCAACAGTCTTTATCAATAACATCTTTGAAACTTAATCATGTTACTCTACCGAAGCAACCGGTGCCTGACTTGAAAAAAAGCGCTCAGAAATATTTAATGTAGATAAAATATTTTTATATTATATTTTTATTAATTATATTAAATTTTTTTTTATTGTAAAATTTATTTTTATTATTTTGTTTTTATTAAAATTATTTTTTTCTACCTACAATAAATTGATTTTTATATTTAATCAAGTAAAATAATAATTTTCAGATCATTAAAACCACTATTAAACGAGGAGGAATTTTCCAATACCGAGAAAATTGTTAATCATTTTATTAGTGAAAATGGACCTGGACCAATTTTATACAAAAAATTACAAGAGAGATACGATAAGACTGAAAATTGGGTAAGATTTGTTTTTTTCAATCAAAAGTTAAAATTTTGTGAAATTTTAATATTTTTTTCATAATTACAAAATTTTTTTTGATATAGAGAGAAATTTTTTAAAAATGAAAAAAATTTCTTTCGTTAAAAGTAAACGTATTGTTGAAAATTAGTTTTTTCGAATGTGAAAATTTTTTTTTAAATAAAATTCTTTTCTACAGTTAAATCAATGGTGGTTGAGAGAAGCATATTTAGGCTATCGTATACCGGTAATTGTTAATACAAGTCCAGGAATAATTTCTCCTCCACAAAATTTTCAAAATTTGGATGAAATGCATTCGTTTGCAGCTCGTCTGATTGAAGGTGTTTGTAAATTCGATGCTTTATTAAAAAGGTAGAATTTAACAATAGACAAAAAATAATATTCTTTTTTTCAATTATTTAATTAAAAAAAAAAAAATTAATTAATTTTAATTTACAAATTACATTCTTTTTTTAATATTCAGTGGAAAAATGAAACAGGAAATGGTTCATAATGAACCTCTTGATATGCTTCAATATGGTTCAATATTAGGTAGTCATCGTCAGCCGAATCGAATAGTTGACAATCTTTTGCATACAGATTTTGCAGAGCATATAATAATTATCTCCAATAATCGTGTAAGAAATTTTTTTGTTACTTTTCTCTCTTAAAGGAAAATTTATTATTGAAAGATTCAAAAAATATTTTCAATAAGTCTTAGAATTAATATATAAAAAATTATTATTTATGATGTATTTCACGCCAAAGTGTAAGTCCATCTGCAATTGCAACTTCGATTTTTTTGAGATTTTTTTTTTTCTTTTAGTACTAATTGAGACTAACTTTCATGAATTTTTTCAAATTTTTTTAGCAAGCCGTTTTCGAGTTATGGAATTTTAAAAATTGGAGAATTTTCATGAGTTTTAATTTTTAAATGCTCATAACTTCCTTAAAAATGCATTAATTTTAAGTCTTTTTTTTCAAAATGTGTGTTTTTAAACGTACTTATCAAAAAAAAAATGGAAAATTTTTTTTTAATCAAATTTTTGAGTTTTAATGATAAAAAGTCATTTTTCTCATTTGACGTACTGATCGATTTTGTTCAAAATTTTTTCAAAAAACTTACTTTTTATGAAACTTTAAAGCCTAGTTTGATAATGGGCAATCAATATTTACTATATTTTCGGAATTTTTCAAAAATTTTTGAATTTTGAATTTTTTAAAAAATATTTTTAGTTTTTTTTTATACTACGTACTTTTATGTATTTTGATGCGCTGATTACGAAAATCATAGTGACAAAACCCAAAAATTTGATTTTTATTGTGAAAACCATAAAAAATCCCAAAATTTATAGTTTTTTTCGTTTATTGAGTAAAATATACAAAATTAAAAAAAAATGCATAAGATAAAAAATATGTATTTCAATAACATCTATAACTTTTGTTTGAAAGTTTTTTTTTTAATTTTGAATATTTTACCCAATAAACGAAAAAAACCATAAATTTTGGGAATTTTTTTTATGGTTTTCACCATAAAAATCAAATTTTTGGGTTTTGTCATTATGATTTTCGTAATCAGCGCTTCAAAATAGATAAAAGTACGTAGTATTAAAAAAAAACCAAAAATATTTTTAAAAAATTCAAAATTCAAAAATTTTTGAAAAATTCCGATTTAAAAAAAATTTTCAATTTTTTTTGATAAGTACATTTAAAAACACATATAAAAAAAAGACTTTTAAAATTGATACATTTTTAAGGAAGTTATGAGCATTTAAAAATTAAAACTCATGAAAATTCTCCAATTTTCAAAATTCCATAACTCGAAAACGGCTTGCTAAAAAAATTTGAAAAATTCATGTAAGCTAGTCTCAATTAGTACTAAAAGAAAAAAAAAAATCTCAAAAAAATCGGAGATGCAATTGCAGATGGACTTACACTTTGGCTTGGAATACATCATATATTAAAATTAGAAATTATTTCATAATAATAAAATAATTTATTTTGCAGCTTTTTAAACTAAATCTCCTGCATTGTAATAAACCATTGACTGAAAATCAATTAAAATCTTCCATTAAAGATATAGTAAATCGCTCAAATATTCCTGGAAAACCAGTTGGAATTTTAACAGGAAACGATAGAGATACTTGGGCAGAAAATCATGAAATACTTAAAGGTAAATTAAATAAATACCGCCAATAAAATCAAATAAATAATAATAATAATAATAATAATAATAAATAATTTATTAATCGCAAAATTAAATAATTATTCAATAACTTAATTGGTTACCCAATTAACAAAATAATAAATTAATCTTTTAATTAAATAGTTGATTGAATAATTAATTAGGCAATTAAATAATAATTTAAATTTCAGTAGACAAAATAAATAAATTTTTTTTTTCGAAATTATAGAAATTGGTTCCAATGGGAAAATACTTAAAGATATTGAATCGTCTTTATTTGTTCTTTGTTTGGATAAACAACTTCCAAATGATGCGTTTAAAACAAAAAATAATGAATCTGTAAGATCAGTTCAATCAATGACTGGTTATAGTTCTTCCACGAATTCCGGAAATCGATGGCATGATAAAACACTTCAGGTAAATTAATTAAAATATAACGAATATTCATTATTTAATATTTATTGATATTAATTTCAATTTATTTAATTTAAGATAATTGTTTTCAATTTATATGAAAATTAATTTTTAATATATTAAATTAATAATTTATTTAATTTATTGAAAAAAGTAAAAATTATATTAATTTGATTAATTTAATAATTGAAATTTTTTTCTAGTATATAATATCTTGTGATGGATTTGTTGGGTTTCAAATGGAACATAGTCCATGTGATGGTCGTCCCACGGCTGTTATTCACGACTTTGTATTAAATCACGCGTAAGAAATTTTAATTTATTAAAACATAATTATAAAGACAAAAATGAAGAATAAGAAAATATTTAGTAAAGAAGTATTAAAAAAATTAATTATTAATAACATTAATAAAAAAAAAATATTAATAAAATTAATAAAAAAAAATTATTAATAAAATTAATAAAAAGAATTATTAATTAAATTAATAATAAGAAATTATTAATTAAAAAAATATTATAAAATTGTAATTGAAATTCATAAATTTCAGAACGAGTAAAATGAACATTAAATGTGAAGACGCGAAAGATTTCCCACAAGGAGAGGAATTAAATTTCGAATTAAATGACAAAATAGAAGAAGCAATTAAAGAAGCTACAACTGTAGTCGATTAGTAATATTTCATTTTCTTATTTCTATTTCTATTTCATTTCATTAGATTACAAATAAAAAAATGTATAAATTAATTTTATCCCATTAATTTCTTTTTTGTTAACAGTTATTCTGAAAATATTGACATGGAATGTTTTACTTTCAAAGATTTTGGTAGTGATGAAATAAAAAAATGGAAATTGAGTCCCGATAGTTTTATACAAATAGCAATGCAAGTGACATTTTATAAATTGCAAAAAAAACCACCATCACAATTTCAAGCAGTAATTCTTCATAGATTTATTAATGGAAGAACTGATTGTATACGATCGACAAGTAGTGAATCTGTTGAATTTGCAAAATTAATAAACTCAAATTATGGTAATAATAGTGAAAAGAAAAAAGCAATGATTAATGCAATTTTTATGCATAAAAAAACGGCAAGAGAAGCATCAATAGGCGAAGGTGTTGATAAATTTTTCTTTGGACTCAGTATGATAGCTAATGATGAAAAAATGGAATTACCGGAATTTTTTAAAGACATTGGTTGGACTAAAAGCAGATATTTTACATTGGCTACCAGTCAGGTAATAGAAATTTTTTTTTTTTTAATCTAAGTCTCAAAAAAAGAATTTCATTTTATTAACTTTGAATATTAATTTTTAAAATTAATAAAATGAAATAATTTCCAACAGAAAATTTAATTATTAAATATTAATAAATAATATATAGTATTTAAAAAATATATGAATTATTAATTAATATTGTAGTTGCCTTTTAAAAGTGCCTCAGTCGCGTGTTTCGGTCCATTTGTTCCAAATGGTTACGGATGTTGTTACAATCCAAGAAAAGACGACATTCTTTTCGCTTGCTCTTCTATGAATGATAGTCCCGAAACTTGTACAAAAGCTTTCGCGGAAACATTACAAGATAGTTTACGTCTAATGAAGAAAATCGCCGAAGAATAAAATTAGAATTATATTAACGTATAATAAATTAATATACGTTAATATAATATTAAAAAACATGAAAAAATATGTATGGGAAATGTAAAAGGCCGAAAGGTCATACATATGAAATCAATAAATCTAATCTATAATATTAAAAAACGCTTTCGCAAGGTTTATATAAAAAAAAACCATTTTATATTTAAAAAAAAAAATCTTGTTCTTCGTAAAAAATATTTATAAATTAAAAATACAAATTATTCTTATTTATATTTTTTTTCGTATAAAAATCTTTGTTATAAAAAAAAAATAATCTCATTGTTTTGTTGCTTTGTTTGAATAAATATTAATGATATGCTTTTTACATGAAATTTGACTAGTCAAGTTTTACAGTTCCTCATGATTATTAGAAATGGCACTTCCTTTTTCTGGTGGGAATCCCCAAAAAAATGTGGGAAGACCTTTAACATCACGTTCGCGTGCTACAAAAGCGGAAAATGTTGATATGCAATTGCCAATAAAATAATTTGCTTTTCCAAGAATTGCAAGATCTAAATGCGAAGACACAGGTTCTTCTTGTCTAAACGCTCGAACCTATAAAAGAAAATTTGTTATAAAAAAAATAAATATTAATTATAACATTAAGATGAAAATAAAAATCTAACCTCCATTCTGGCTAGAGCAATATTTAATTCGTTGATCATGTAATTATTATCAGATGCAACAAATATTGATTTAATATTATTGTCATTGCGAATTACACGTTTAATATGACGTAAAATAATTTCCAGAGGTGGAAAACACATTGTTGATGTTGCTTTTCCACGTTCATTTCTATAACCTAAACATTGGGGAGCAGCGAAAAGATTTGGACTACTTGATGTAAATTCGCATGCTCTGACCTGAAAAAAAAAATCGTTTATTAAAAATCAAAAAAAAAAATTACCGACAAAATTTTTGCTTAAATTTTCCTACCCAATCAATTCCATTACGTAAATGTATTCCAATAAATGCACCGGCTGGGAGTTTTTGTTTAATAAAATTTTTCGCTCTCTCGGAAATATCATCAGTCCATTGTAAACATTTTTGTAAATATTTATTCTCTAGTTGAACAGGAAATGTTGCTGGTGCTCCCGTAAATGCAAGAACTGGCCACGTAACAACGGGATATTTTTTCTTCCATTGATTCGCCATATCGCCATGATACATATCGTAATGCATTGGTCCATAAAATTCCGAATCAACGAAATCAATATTATATGTATCCCAAAATGGACCAAAGGGATTTCCTTCCTTTGGATTGCAATTTGTCGTATTTCCCCGTGGCGAATAACAAAAAGCTAAAAATTTACATTATATGTATAAAAATTAAATCTTTTAATTTTGTAATTTTATTTAAATTTGGAATTTAATTTCAAATCAATTTTATTATTTAAAATAAAAATTAATTTTATTATTTAAAATGAAAATTAATTTTATTATTTAAAATAAAAATCAATTTTATTATTTAAAATGAAAATTAATTTTATTATTTAAAATAAAAATCAATTTTATTATTTAAAATAAAAATTAATTTTATTATTTAAAATGAAAATTAATTTTATTATTTAAAATAAATTAAAATTTAATTTAAATTAAAATTTGAATATAATTATTCTCTAATTAATTATAATTTTGAAATTTTACCTATTCTATATTCCGATGGCCAAACATTTGAAGCAATTTCTTTCATAAATTCTTCCATTAATATGACCTTATGGCAAGTTTTCAGATGCGTCACATTAAAATAAGTATCAAATGGAACTTGTAACTGTAAATAAAAAAAAAAAAAAAAATTAGTAAAATCACAAAAATTTACACAAAATAATAAATAAATTTCTAACTATTGACTAAAAATTCCCCCATACCGATCTGAGTTCTCCTATTCGATATTCAACCCATGCGGGTAAAATTAAAGTGCGATTTAAAGATTTCGCAAAACCTAACGCACCTAAAAAATGATCCGCTTGATTTCCAAATCGACCTGTAAAATTTAATTGTTCAAAAGTATTTTCCCTCCTTTGAATTTAAAAAATAATCGCAGATAAGAAAAATCGGTAAAGTCTATTTATTACTATTAATTATTATTTTCAATATTATTTAATAATAATAATAATAATACTAGTAATATGTAATAATAATAAAAAATAATTTCGTCTTTAAGTTTAATTATTAAATAATAAATGAATGAAACCAGAATAGAAGTCGAAAACATAACCTCAAAATTGTTTACGAAATTTTATCAATTTTATCGACAAATAGAATTTGACAGTGAAATTAAATTCTAACAGTATTTAAAAATACATTTCTTTGTTAACTACCATTAATAATGAAAAATATTTAATTTATTTTCACAAAAAAAAAAAAAAACCGAAAAATACTACTTACCCATGCAGGGACAATATGCAATATATCCATTAACGTCTAACTCGATATTATTACAAAAACATGTAACAATATTTGTTAAAAATAAACTGATGACAATTAATTTTTTATTATTAAACATTATTAAATTAATAAAAAAAAAAAGTAACAATATACACAAGTTGTCAACACAAGAAAAATTCAACTGATGTTGTCATGGAAACGGGAAACGATGTTTCTGCATTAAAGCCAAACGCACAATAAATTCGCGAAAATCGTATTTGTGTCCTTTTCTATCTCATACAACTTTATTATTGTGCGTTCGCCTTTTGTCAAAATATGGCGCGCTTATTTAAAATTCACCAATCAATTTGAAATAATATAGAAAGAGCGGCAAACATTTCTATTGGTCAACGTTAAAATTTCTATTGCGCAAACTCAGTGCCGCTCTGCAATTTGACAACACAGCGTGCCGAAACGTTGACATTTCGTTAAAAAATAATTGTATATTAATTAATGTAATAAACGTACTTTTTTGCAACGTTTAACTATAATTAATTTGTATAATGTACAGTGTATAATAAGTTTTAATTTATAAAAAGAAATAATGGCTGATTCTAGTGAAAATTCCTTAGCACTTGTAAGAAATTGTTTTCTAACCTATAAAATTTTGTTTAGCGTTTAAATATTTATTTATTAAAGATAAATTAATTAATTATTTAATTAAATTATTAAAAAATATTTTCAAGTTTAATAAATTTTTTTAAAACTAATTTTTAAATTTTTATTTAAACTTCTCGTTACTTTTATATAAGTGAAAAAATTCGAAAAGTTATATTAAAAATAAAAGTACAATTAAATTTGTTTAGTTACAAAATGAAGAGGATTTACCATATGAGGAGGAAATATTACGAAATCCTTTTTCGGTGAAACATTGGCAGAGATATATTGATCATTTAAAAGCAACAAAGAGTCCAAATTTGAATATTGTTTACGAACGAGCCCTCAAAGAACTACCAGGAAGGTAAAGAGAAAAATTTCGAATGTCTTAGATTTAAGTCTAAAAAGAATTTTTTTTAAATAAAAATTTAATTACTGAATATTAACTATTTAGGACTTGTAAAAAAAAATAAATTCAATTTTTTTTCCTAGTTATAAACCGTGAAATAATTATTTTCAACGACTGTAAAAATTATTATTGTTAATATAAAATTATGTAAATTTTTTCTTCTAGTTATAAATTGTGGAATAATTATCTTCGACTAAGACTAAAAAAATTGAAGGATCAAGTTAAAGGAAATATACAACATCCACTTTACGAGGATGTTGGCAATGCTTTTGAACGAGCATTGGTGTGGATGCATAAAATGCCACGAATATGGATAAATTATTGTATTTTTATGACTGAACAGGGTTTTATAACACAAACTCGTCATGTTTTTGATAAAGCACTAAGGGCATTGCCCATTACCCAACATCATAGAATTTGGCCACTTTATTTAAATTTTGTGAAAATGCATAATATTCCCGAGACTGCTGTAAGAGTTTTTCGAAGATATCTAAAGGCAAGTGACAAAATTAATTTGAAAAAAAAGAATTTCTTTTAAAAACAATTATAAATTTTAGAAAGATTAATAATTTACTAATAATTATTTAATAAATAATTATTATTAACTATTAATTAATTAATTATTATTATTAATTAATTATTAATTAATAAATAATTATTATTAAGTATTATTAATAAATTATTAAGTAATAGTAAATTTAATTTTCAGATGGCACCAGAAGATACGGAGGATTATATCGAATATTTAATATCAATAGATCGATTGGACGAATCAGCAACTCAACTTGCTCATATTGTTAATCAAGATGATTTTGTTTCAAAGCATGGAAAATCAAAACATCAATTATGGTCCGAATTGTGCGATTTAATATCAAAACATCCAACGCAAATAAAAACACTAAATGTTGATGCAATAATTAGAGGTGGTCTTCGACGTTATACAGATTCATTGGGTTCATTATGGAATTCCCTTGCTGATTATTATATTCGTAGTGGACTTTTTGAAAGGGTATATTTCTAATTCTATTTGTATCAAATTAATTGAATTTTTAAAACTTTATAAATTAGAATTTTACAAATGTTTCATTTAAAAACAAAAATTAAAATTAAAATAATATTATAATAAAATATAAAAGATTTTTTTTTTCTAAATTTTGTAAATAAATTGGAAAATTTTTAAAGCTAATTTATCTAAATATTAATTAATTTAAAAAAAATAAATTTATTTATTATTAATTTATTAATTTATTTATTTATATAATTTTTAGGCGAGAGATATTTACGAGGAGGCTATACAAACAGTAAAAACAGTGAGAGATTTCACTCAAGTTTTCGATGCATACGCACAATTTGAAGAATTAAGTTACAAAAAAGTTTTAGAAGAAAATGTCAATAATTTGAATCTAACTGAAGAAGGTAAATAATTTAATATGTGAATAAAATTTAATTTTTCGACAGTATTGTCAAAATATTTTTTTTAAAATATCTATAACAACTTAAAAAAAAATATAAAATTAATTTCAGACGAAATAGAAGAAGAATTAAGACTTGCTCGTTATGAAAATCTACTTGAGAGACGATTATTGTTACTTAATTCGGTAATGTTGAGACAAAATCCTCACAATGTACAAGAATGGCATAAACGTGTTACACTTTACGAGGGAGAACCGCACGAGGTAAAAAGAGGAAAATTATTTAAATTAAACGATTATTATTAATTATTATTAAACGTTATAATAAATTCAAAAAGTAGCGATTAATAGCAATAAATAATAATAAATTTAAAAATAGCTATTAATATCAATAAATAATAATAAATATGCAATTTATGTTAAATTTTTGAAAAAAAAATTTCAGATTATCAATACATATACAGAGGCAGTGAGTACAGTTCAACCAGAATTGGCTGTTGGAAAATTACACACATTATGGGTGGAATTTGCAAAGTTTTATGAGAATAATTCTCAAATACCGGACGCGAGAGTTGTATTTGAAAAAGCAACTCTCGTACAATATTTAAAAGTCGACGATCTCGCTTCCGTTTGGTGTGAATGGGCAGAAATGGAAATTAGACACAAGTAAAGCAGTTCTTTTTTTTATAATTTAATAAATTATTTAATAATTTAATAACTAATTTTACTATTTATTTTTACAGCAATATAGCAGAAGCCTTGAGGCTCATGCAACGCGCTACTGCAATGCCATCACGAAAAGTTGCCTATCACGACGAAAATGAATCGGTTCAAATGAGATTATATAAATCATTAAAAGTTTGGTCCATGTATGCGGATCTTGAAGAGAGCTTTGGAACATTTAAAGTAATTTTATTTGTTTTATTTTTTAAAATATACCTTTTCTCCTTTAAATTTATTTTAATTTCAATTTTTTTTCTAGATGTGTAAAGCGGTTTATGACAAAATAATCGATTTAAAAATAGCAACCCCTCAAATTATTATAAACTACGGTGTCTTTTTGGAGGAAAACAATTATTTCGAAGAAGCTTTCAGAGTAATTATCAGTCAGGATTTTTGAAAATTAATTTTCAAAGAATTAATATTTTATTCTGATAATATATTAATTTAAATTTTCTTTTTATTATAGGCTTACGAAAAAGGAATTGCTCTCTTTAAATGGCCGAATGTTTACGATATATGGAACACATATCTTCAAAAGTTTAAAAAACGTTACGAGGGCACAAAATTGGAACGTATGCGAGATTTATTTGAACAATGTCTCGAACATTGTCCACCTAAATATGCCAAAAGTGAGTTTATTTTTATTCTTACTAATTCTAATTATTAATAAATAATTCTTACTATAATAATATAGTAAGAACTATATAATAATATATGATTAAAAAGTAATATATAATTAATAAAAATAATAAAATTATCCTAAAAATTGAATAATAAATATAATTTTAGATTTGTATTTACTTTATGCAAAATTGGAGGAAGATTATGGTCTCGCAAGACACGCAATGTCAGTTTATGAACGTGCAACAGATGCTGTTCTTCCTGAGGAAAAATTCGAGGTATTTTCCAAAGAAATTCTTAGAAAATAATAATCAAATTCTCACGAGTGAATAGTATTAAAAAAAAAAAATGTATATCATTTTCAGATGTTCAACGTTTATATTCAGAAAGCGGCAAATATTTATGGTGTTCCTCAAACAAGAACAATTTACGAGAAAGCTATTGAAGTTCTAAATGAAGAAAATTCAAGAGAAATGTGTTTACGTTTTGCTGAAATGGAAACAAAATTAGGCGAAGTCGATCGTTCGAGAGCAATTTATGCATTTTGTTCACAAATGTGCGATCCTCGGGTACGTAAAACTATTTATTTAAAATTAATATCAAAAAATAATAATTATTGAAATTATTATTATTATTTATAAATTATTATAATAATTATTGAAATTATCATAATTTATCAATTATTGAATGAAAATGTTTTTATATCAGACAACATCGAACTTTTGGCAAGTCTGGAAGGAATTTGAGGTTCGTCATGGAAATGAGGACACAATGCGTGAAATGTTGAGAATAAAACGTAGCGTTCAAGCTAAATACAATACAAATGTGAATATGATGGCTGCACAAATACAAAATAGTGCCACGAATCAAATCACTGAACCAATGGATGCAATGCGTTTATTAGACAGCAAAGTATCGGGTAATTATTCAAAAACAATTTTTTCTTTTCCTAACTAAATCGATAATTTCAACTAAAAACTAATATTTTCGCCTTGAAATATTAATACAATGAGGAATGATTAATTTTAAATAAAATTAATTATCCAATAGAATATAATTATTATCTAAATTTAAATTGAAAACTAAATTAAACTATTAATTAACTAAATTAATTCAACTGAAATTTAATATTCAAATTTTAGAAATGCCTCCACCACCGGGACCTAAGAATACAATTAAATTTATACGCGGCGCAACAGAAGGTGGAAAAACAACAGAACCACAAGTTACGAATCCTGATGAAATTGATATTGACATGGATATGGACAATGATGATGATGATGACAATGATAATGACGAGGGAGATGAAAATGGTCCCGAAACGGAAGGTGAGAAATTTTTTAAAAATTTAAATTAATTTAAGAATTAATGAAATTTTGATCGATTTGCTAAAAGAAGAAATTTCATTTCAGATATTCCAGTAGAAAAACAAATTATACCATCTGAAGTGTTTGGCAGTCTACGAAAAAAAGATGATGATGACGATGACGATAATTCATAAATAGTAAAAGTAAATATTTTTCAATAAAGCGTTTTTTTTTTTAACGTAATAAGTAAAATTATTTTCCTACTCATAACAAAAATAATTAAAACATAAATTAAAATACAAATTAAAATCGAAATTAAATTGTTTAAATGAATGAAAAAAGAAAGTATCGTAACGACGAATTAAAGAATTTAATTCTCAATGTATATTTTATACAATATAAAATCACATTTTAAACTTATTTACAACACACTTTTGCACATTAAATTTATAATTATATATATATAGTTTTACATATTACAATTATTTGATTTTCGTGAAAAACAAATAATTCAAAATTTTATTTAATTAAGTGGAAATTGTAAAAGTGTTAATTGTTTAATTTAATTGAAATTCTTGATTTCATTTCTCAAATATATAATATTCTTATAGTACAAAAAGGCAGCATTGAGGAGTCGGAATATATCATGAATAAAATTCCAATTTATCTTAAAAATTGGAAATGAGCATTAACACCTCTTGAGAATATAGAGCAAAATTTCACTTAAATAACTAGAAAAGCAGTCTTTTACGTGATTTTCTTTTTTTTTTTAGAAATATACATTTTTATATTACATAACGAGGTGGATTTATGAAATAAAGATCATTATAAACTTCCGAATCATCAATATCTGGCCGACCTTGTATTGTCGTTCGTTCTTTACGAATACCACCGAAAACAATTAATTCACCACGTCCCAATGCAAGTGAATAAAGTATTCTCTCATCGGGTCCCGATTGTCCATTTTGTTTCAATGATACCCAAGATGCTGTGCAATCATCGCACAATACATTTGTAATATCAAGAACAAATATTGACAAAGTATTCTCAGTTTTTTTCACTTGTTTCGTTTGAATTTTACTTCTTTGTATTCTCTCTTCCATACGACGTAACGATTCCAATTGTCGTTGACGATTTGCTTTTGAATTTGCACGCACTGTTTCACCACGAAACGCTGCCATACTCAATTGGCTGTCATTATAAAATGACATTCTCTTTGGTATCGTGGGATTTGTTGAATTCAATTGGCCATTACGTTCGGGTATTAATTTTGAAAATGTTCCATGACGACCATTTACATTCTCATCACGATCAATTTCTTGCGGTACGCTTCTTCGCCTGCATGAAAAATTAGGGAAAATTTTTTTTTTTTTTATTAAATTAATAAATAATTTTGGTGTTAAAAAAATACCTTTCATTTGCAGCAACCTCGGGAGGTTGTGGCGGTTGGCAGGCAACATTTTTTTGCGATATACTCATTTCATTTGGTTGCGATGGACGTTTACTTTTACTCAAAACAATTATGTAATTTCCTACCTGGAAAATTTAATAAATTACATAAATTACAATAAAATCAATAAATAATAGAATAATTATAAATAGATATAGAAATTATAAAATTTTAATAAAATTATTAGTTTTGTTTTATTATTATTATTATTTATTAATTATGAATAAATATAAAAAATATGAAAGTAATTTTTCGAATTTTGTAAAAGTAAAAAATTCAAATTGAAGAATTAATTTTTTTAATTCTTTTTTAAAATTATTATTCAAAATTATACTTTGCATGCTTGATGACACCAAACGCGAGACGGTGCCCATTCAGTATTTCGCATATTTATTTTTCTCCATGTCCAAATTGGATCTTCCATTGTTAATAGCCAAGCGTCTTCCATTGGCGAATTTGGTCCAATACATCCACCTGAAAAAAAAAAAATTTTTTTGAGAAATTTTATATTAAAAATATTTTTTTCAATAAAATATAAATTTCAAACAAACCCAAAATAAGAAGATGTTTTTCATCAAGTTCAATTTGCGATTGTCCATAACGTGCTTGTGGTTTTGGATTAAAAGTAGCTTGCTTATGCCAACAATATGTATCTAAATTCAAACACCAAATATCATTTGAACTTGGATAAAGATCACCACTATAACCATTGCAAACACCACCAAAAACAACCATTAAATTCCCATGAATTGTCGCTGAATGCGCTGAAGTTGGTGGTGGACTTTCCAATGAGCAAACAGCATTCCAACGATTCGATTCAATTGAATAGACATGTAATTCATTAAATAATTTCCATTGCTAAAAATAGAAAAAAAAATTAAAAATTATTATATAATAATAAAATGCTTAGTCTGTCCTTCTGTCCTAACTTGAAGTTGTCCTTTTCTGATTTCACGTGTCTTTTTGAATAGTAATCTTATGACGTGTCAAATTTTGACAATTCTTTTTCTCATTTTTTGCCAAAGTTGTATAATTGTGTTTCCAAATTTCGGAATAAGTTTCTTTAAAATTCAAAATTCGAAAATTCAATTCACAAAGCTGAAGTACACAACGTTTATCAACGAAATTTTTTTTAAAGTTGTATATTGATTCAAAAATTGTATATAAATACAAAAAATTTATGATGAGAAAAAAGATGCGCCAGGAAATTTTGTACAAGATAGTAATTTAAAAAAAATTAATTTTTAAGGTACCAGGGGCCAACGAATACCTATTAAATATTAATTATAAAAACACAGGCCTCGAATCAACTTAAAGACACAAAAAAGTCGTTTTAGTCGATTTATATTCAAAAAAAAAGTGGATTTGTTTTTTATTTTAACAAAAATATTTTACAGATTTTTAAATAAAAAAAATTTTTTTTTTAATAATAATCCTTTTCGAAGGGTTAAAGTTGAAATTTTTAGAAATAATTAAATTTCAAATGTTATTGTTAATTTTCAAACAATTATTAAATTTTACAGAACTTAAACAGGGTATCTACTAAAAATCTGAATTAAAATTTCAGGACTTTTCAGGACAAATTTCTTATTTTTCCAGGACATTAAATTGGATGACTTTAAAGGAATAAAATAAATTTTAGTTTAACTATTGTTTTCAGAAATTATTAAAAAATTAATTAATTACTTAAGTAAATTTTCATTTTACTTATTTAATGAATTTTTTTTAACTTGATTGATAAAATTAGAAATTTTTGAAAATTTAAAAGCAAAATATAAAAAATTCAAGGACAAAAATTAAAATTCCAGGACTTTCAAGGACATTCCAGAACATTTTTTCAAATTCCAGGACATTTCCAGGACTTCCAGGACTAGTAGACACCCTGTAAAAATAATTTATCAAACAATTTTTGGAAAACATTTTTTAAATTTAATTTAATACGCAATTTGTTTTTCAATTTAAATAGTAATGGCGCAGCCAATTAGTAAATAAGTCTAAAATTTTTGTAAATACAGTACTTTGTACGACAGGGCTTTATTCCGGTATTGCCCGTGTAAATAAATAAATAAATAAATAAATAAATAATTGAATTTTCAAAGATTTAAAATTGAGATTTTTGAAATTAATTGAAACTTTAAGTGATTTTTAATTGAAATTTTAGATGATTTCACTAAAAATTTATTAGAAAATGCGGACAAAATACAATAATTTGAAAATCATTTTCAATTGAAAAATGGTTTCAGATAATTGAATTTTCAAAGAATATTATTAAAATAGTTAAAAATAATTGAATTTCCTTAGAGTTATAATTGAAATTATTAAATTTCAAAAAAAAAAAAAAATATTTTCGATGGAAAATTTTAGAAATAATTAAATTTTAGATGCTTTTAAATTTAAATTATTGAAAATTCAATTAATTTTGAATTCAAATTTTTGAGAATAATTAAATTTTATTTGATTTTAAATTTGGAAAATAATTGAATTTCAGTTCATTTTGAATTGAAAATTTTGGGAAATAATTGAATTTTAATTGGAAATTTTGGATAATAATTTAATTTTAATTGAAAATTTTGGATAATAATTTAATTTAAGTTCATTTTTGATTGAAAATTTGGATAATTAATTTTGAATAGAAATTTTAGAAAATAATTGAATTTTATTTCATTTTAAATTGAAAACTTGGTAAATAATTAAATTTTAAATTGAAAATTTTGGATAATTATTGAATTTTTAATTGATTTTGAATTAAAATTTCGGGTAATAATTGAATTTTAGTTATTATTTATTAATTAAGCTTCAGCCTTTCGACCCAGAAGTGGACTTGGAATTGAATTTTAGTTTATTTTGAATTGAAATTTTAAAAAAATAATTCAATTTTATTGTGTTATTTTTTTTTTAAATTAGAAACAATTGTTAAATTTCATAAAAATTTTAATTGAAAAATAATTTTGATATAATTGAATTTGTGATTTCATTAAAATTATTAAAAATAATTAATTTAGTGAAGAATCATTTTAGTTCAAAATTTGTTAAATAATTGAATTGAAGAAGATCTGAAGAAGATCTACATTTTATACTAAAAAAATGTATTTTATTTAAATTTTTTTTCAAATGTAAAAAAAAAATGTCGCATTTTATTAAAATAAGTCGATAAAAGTCGTATTTTTGAAAAAAGTCGGAAAAAGTCGTATAATCCGAGGCCTGTAAACATATAATTTTCATTATTATCATTTAATATGTAATAATATTCTAATAAATTAAATTATTATTAATAATATTAATCTTTAATTTCTTTATAACAAACAATTAAATACTCAATTTGGCGCGCGTTTAATTTAGCTAGTTAAATAAATATTTTCTCTACAATAAAAAAAAAAAAAAAAAAGAAAATTAATAAAATACCTGATGAACAGGATATGCAGAAGGATGAGACCATCCTCCAAAGAGAATAAATTTCTTTTTATAATGTAACATTGTTGCACAAGCTTTTGGCGATGGATAACTTCCCATTGTTATTGGTCTCACCCATTTTCTTGTATCCAAATTTAATTTCCATAAATCGTTAAAAGTTGTACAAGTCGCGGTACAACCACCAAAAATATACATGGAATTTTCATATGTACAAGCTGAATGTGAATGTCTTTTTGATATTACTGGACAATGTGATGGTAATACCGAATTCCAAAATAATGAACCATAAGAGACTGATTTTTGAAAATGTGTCTCACTATGTTCAATAACATCTAATTAGAGAACAAAAATAATGTTTTATAATTTCTAAATGAATTATATTAAAATTATAATGTACTTACTTTTAGTGGCACGATACCATCGTTTTGAGACAAACATACATTCTTGTAAATCTTTATAAGGTGGTATTAAACTTAAAATATATTCTAAAATTTCATCTGGAAGATCATCGATTTTACATTGCATTTTTGATGATAAATTTACTTTTTTAAACACTCAAATTTTATTCACAACATAACATTTTTTTTTTCGTTTAAATCCGCAAATTTTTTTTTAAATACACTTCACAATTGCACTTTAATTGTATTTTTAAATATTGTTTATTTATTGATAAACTAAATAAACACGGATAATAGTATTACAAGGTGTTTAAAAGTAATTTTTTTGTTTACTTCAAACAATGAATTTGACATATTTCGACAGCCATTTTTGTATTTACGAAAAAATTAAAAACACGCATGCGCAAGTTGATCAGCGCCATCTAGCGGTGAATGATTCAACTTTCAATGTAATTTTTAGTTACAATATCCACCGTAACAGGGACTATTTTCGCCGACAAAAAATTTGTTAATAAAATTTTGTTTTTCTTTTGTTAAAAAGTTTCTTTTTTTCAAAAAATATGTTTTGAATTTAAAAGAAAAAATTCTTATTCTCTAGTGAAATAGAATAATATAGTAGAATATATCATAAAGTTTACTTTTGTAAATATACTGATCAACATAACCAAAAAAAATTCAAAAATTAATTAAAATTTTTTTTAAAAATGAATATGCCATCGCTAATTAGTGATTTAAAAATGCCAAAAATTCTATGGCATCAAACTGATTATTATGTTAATTTACATATACAATTAGTTGATGTGGATAAATATTATTTACGTGTTGACAGAGATCAGTTACTTTTCAGGTAAGATTTTTTAAAAATATATTTTTGTATTTTAAATAAAATTACATTTTTGTTATTAATTAATGTAAATAAAATTAAAAATTTCAATTTTTTGTCAAAAAAAAAAAAAGAAATGAGAGTTGAAAATTAAAATTTCTGTTTTTTTTTTTTTTTTTGCAGTACAATTGTAAACGATGAGAAATATTATATTACATTAAATCTATTTGGAGCAGTTGTACCTGAGGAGACTATAACTACAAAAACAGGAAGGGAAGTGAGAATAAAAATTGTTAAAGGTTACACAGGAACTGATTGGCTGAGATTACAAAGTGAACCAGAAAAAAATCCCATGATTCTTCTTGATCCTGATCGAATTATTAAGCATGAGAAAAAAAGAATCCAACATCCAGTTACTTGGGGTAAATAATTTTTTACCACTACCTAATAATATGTATTATATTTCAAAGTTCAGTCAAATTACAAAAAAAAAGAAACAAATTATTAACAAAAGTGTTAAAAGACAATTAATTAAATTTCTATTTTATTCTCATTACAGAAGCAGGAAAATTAGTAGAAGAATATAAAAGACTAAACAACGTTCAATATATACGTCCTGATGAGCCAAGTTCCGATGAAGGAGGAGAATCAGAAGACGAGATATTCGATTCATATTTCGATTAAATTAATTAGTTATTTCATACAATTGCAATTAAATAAGCCGGAATTATGTACCTCTATTTTTTTTACAATTTACCACTCATATCTATAATGTATTATACAAAATGTTTATATTAAATATAATTGGTTATAGAAAAAAAACAAAGAAATCGTGTTAAAAAAGAGTATATATATTTAATTAAATACACGTTAGAAATTTAATTGATTAAAAGAAAATTGTAATAGAATTTCTAGTCAATTCAATTTTTACAATTTTTGCACATTGGCAAAAAAGAAATGAATTATTAACAAAAGTGATTTAAATTGTCAATATAAAGACATGTCAAGTGTCATTTTAATTCTTGAAAAACAATTTTATTTTTTCAATTTTTTTTATTCAATTTCTTTATTTGAATCATTATTTTTAAAATAATAAATTTAAAATTATTAGAATTTTAATATTAATTTTCCGTAATATTAAAAATTGAATAATATTAATTTAATATTTTTCTTCTAATTTTATGTTAAATTATTTTATTTTGTAATTTCAGTAAGTATTAATGACACCGCTTATTTCAGACACGTCTTTAAGTAGACCAGAATCTCGATTAATAAAACATTAAAGTAATAATACTTAAAATAATAAATTAATTAAAATTTAATATTTTAAATATTTTTTTTACATTTCTCTTTTTCAGATTTAATCGAGACTCTAATTAATAAACAGTGTAATAGTCAGGCTGATTTCGTGGATATACTAAAAAAAAAAAAAAAAAAAAATTTGTAAATAAACTGTTGTTATGTACGAGACAATTGTGCATAAATTATTTCGAGTTTATTTTTTGGCTAAGACTTAATATTTAAAAGATATATTAAAAAATACTTCAACTAAATAATTTAGAATTTAGTTTTCCAGTGTAAAACTCATTGAGTAAATTATTATCAATAATAATTACATATTATATTTGTTCATGACTTTTGTAATTCTTTTACATTAATTATTAAAATAAAAATTATCAGAATCTTAATGGAATGTTTTAAGCAATAAATTCTAAATCTTTCCCATTTTTTAAGTACTTAATTTAATGTGGCACAAATGACACAAACAACATTAAGAAATTCTCTACTTTTACCAATACATATACAATTTGTCAAACTTATTTGTTAATTAAATGAAAATTTATTCCTAAAAATAACAAACTTCAGGATACAAATAAAAAAAAAAAATGCAACTAATAAAATAGCACGTGCTTAATTAACAATTTGCGTAACACAAAAGTGACTGGTAACCATTGTTTCATTTATATATATTAACAAATATGCTACATAAACAAGCTTTTTTCTTATAATTTCTCAGTAAAGAATAATTCAATAAATTACATAATTATTCCAAAAATAAGGGAAAAAATTTTTCTACAAATTCAAACAATAGAAATTAATTAATAAATATATAAGAATTTTAGAGAAAAAAATGTCAAAATTTTTATTAAAATTTTCGTAAATTTCTCAATTTTTTTCGGGGAGGAATTTACTTTTTGACACATTTTCCTCTAAATTATAAAAATATTTAATAATTAATTTCCCTCGTCTTTGTATTTTTAATTTAAAAAAAAAAAATTAATTAACAAAAAATCATAAGAACGTCACAATTTGAATTTAAACTTAAATTTTCAAACAATTTAAATGTTTATATTTCAATTTAATATTCATAGCAAGATTAGAAATATTATTATTAATTATTATCGTCAGTTGTATATCTACTTAAAAAAAAGAACGTAAAAAAAAACCGAAAACATTCTACACAATACACAAATAATTAATAATTTAGTAACCTGTAAATTATTGTTTCGAAAAAAAAAAATTAAAAAATCTGTTCCACTGACAGAAATTAGTACAAATTATTACAAATAGTAATAAACTGTTTGTAAGAAACAATTTTTGTAATCTATGAATTATTTTTGAAAAAAACTATCACCCTAGAACACACGTGAGACAAATTTTTTATATATATATATATAGAGAGAGAGAAAGAACTGGAAATTTGTGTCTTTTTTCAACAGCCTTCCAACGAGAGTCTTTGATTAATATTTTCAACGCGAACTTTCATCTCCCGTAATATATCCTCAGCGAGACTATCGACTGTTGTGTATCTTACTTTAAAAAAATTGAAAATATCTACTAGAAATTCTATGACTTGATCCCTAAAATATTGGCAAGTGGATCGTAAACTTCCTTCTGGTCCTAAAAATCCCCAAATCAAAACCGGTGACACTTGTTCTGATATTGAATAGAAATGTGCCAAAAATCCTTTATCATATTTTAACATTTGTCTCTTGCCTACAAGAACGGACCACACGGCAGTGCCTATTGCCTAAAAAAAATTATTTTTACAATTAAATTTTAATTATACATATATTTTTTTATTAGAAAAATAATAATTATTATACCGTTTCTCTGAAACTGGCGGATATCCAACGATTTTGAAGAATTGCTTTAATTGAAGATGGAGGTTTATCAACTTCTTCAAAAGCATCAAGAAGTATGAAATCAATGAGAACGTCATAAAAATTTAAACACAATACACCTCTGCCAGATAATTCCTCTTGCATTGTACTACAATTTCTCGTATCTTGTAAAAATACCATCATTCGTTCGTAATGTAGTAAATAATCTTTGGGATCCTAAAAAACATTTTTCTTTAAAATAAAAATTTTTCTCATTCTTTTAATTTTCATATTTTTTTTTACATTATAAATTTGAAAAAATCCTTTTTAGCAAAAATTAGTGTAAAAAAGTGGAAATTATATTTGACATAAAATTTTAAAAAAAAGTCCTACAGTATTTCTTGTTTAATAAAACCAAGAATAATTTTAATTAAAAAATTATACAATAAATAATTCACTGATTAATTTTCTCTAAAACCTGATTTTTATTTGCAGATTCGCAATAAAAAAAAAAACGAAGCTGAAATACACAACGTTTATGATAAACAATTTTTTAAAGAAATAATTTTTTACCTAAAAAATATTTTTTATACTTTTTATTAATCAACAAATTATAAACAAAATTAAACAATTTTATAATTTTCCGTCTTAAATAAAAAATGATAAACGTTGAGTACTTCAGTAACGTATAAAAAAAAAAGAACTTGATTGAAATTGTTAAAAATTATTTTGTAAGACAAAATTAGTGTCGAGAGCAGAATAATCAATAATGATAATAATAAGTGAAATAAGAAATTAACCTTATCGGCAAAGATAATTAAATCACTTATAAGTTGTCGACCAACGTCTGCAATCCAAGTTGCCGCAGCTGGCCAACTAAAAAGTTTCGAGTACGCCTGCCGTAAACAATGAACTTTGGCTAAATATTCAACATCTGAGCCGCATTTCACTAATTCCGTATGAATTCGACTAAAATGAGAACAATTTAATAAATTACACAAATAGAAATTATAGGCAAAGAATAATTTCATTTAAAACAGGAAAGAAAAACGAAAAACATAAAAATACAAAATTACCACAAACAATATTATTAAAATTATAATCTTTGATTAGAAAAAAAAAAATTTCCTCATTTATGAAAAAAAAAAAAATTGAAATTTATTACATAAATTTGAATTTTCAACAATTAAAATGCAAATTTTATTCTGTAATAGTTTTTAATTGGCTACAAAAAGGATTAAATTTTCATGAGAATTGAAAAATCCCTCACTAATTGACTCTTTATTTTTTTTACAAGGTATTAAATTTATTTATTAGAGTTTATTTCATAACACTCATTGAATAAAAATTTTGAAGTCAACAAAATAACATTAATCTGAGGATTACAAGTCATTAAACTAACATAAAATTATCATTTAATCTAATTTAAATTTCATAATTCAAATTTAATTTATTAAAATAAGTTTGTTAAAAAAAATATTAATTAATATTTTGTTCCTAAAAAATCTCTAAATAATATTTATTTAAAGAATATTAATATTTCTCGATATTCCAGTATTAATTTCTGATATTTCTGCAGTATTTAAAAAAAAATCTAAATATTCCTGCACTGAAAAAAAAAAATTTATTTGATTCCAATATAATCGGTTACTTGACTATTAATCAAATAAATATTTATTTGTATCGAATAATTATTATTTGAGATGATATTTGTTTGAAATTATTATTTCAAAATTTATTTAATTCAAATAAAAATTATTTGGTTCAAATAAATATTTATTTGATAATAATCAGTTCAGTATTTAAATAAAAAAAAAAAAATTTTCAAGTCTGACAGAGAGGAAAATTTCTTTTTTTTTTTTTTAATGAAAAAAAATCTATTTAATAGCAGTCGATTGTGAAAACAGATTTAATGACCGACTTCAAGCTGAGACACCAGTTAAATGCTCATAAAATTTTAATTAAAAGAGCCAACAAGGTAGTTTGCACTTAATAAAATTCTCATAGTTTATTCCAAACATTTCCTTTTTATCCTGGAATAAACAATAATAGAAAATAATAAATAAAAAAGAACCATTTTTAAAAATTTCTATTAAAAAATAAATTCGAATTCCTTTTCTCCTTTAAAATAATAATAATAATAATAATTTTACTACCGGCATGTAATGCCTTTATCCTCGTGTTGTTTCAAGGCGGCATGATAAAGTTTTTGCTTTTCAAAATGTGGAAAGAATTCCGCAAATTCTTCAAATTCACGCAAATCTGCAACCTTTAAAATAAAAAAGAAAAAAAATGAAATTTCCATTTGGTATAATACATTGAAATTTAAATAATTTTTTTTATACATACACCATCCCTCGCTGATGCAAATGATTCTGGTGAAGATGCAGCCTCAGGTTTATCTTTAATAGTTGACAAACGTGTTCCAATTGTCGAGGGTTTGTGACTTTCTTCACTTTCAGTATCATTTCGAAAAAGTACAGAATGCTGCAATATAAATAAAATTCATTAAAAATTCAGTCAATAATAATATTCAAAGTAAATTATAAAATCAATTACGCAATAATACAAAATTACGAAATTCGATTTTGTTTTTAAAAAAATAGAAAAAAAATAGAAAATTAATTAATTATTAAATTTATTTTCATTATAAAAAATTTTATACAAAATACGTAAATTGTATTTTTTAAATAAAAAAAGAAATATAAGAATAATTATATTCAATTAAAATATTTTTTTTTCAATTTTATAAGAAAAATAAAAGTTTTTTTTTTTTTTTTTAGTGAATATCCAACTTTAAAATTCCAATGTTTCAAATAATACATCCCTTTAAATAAGAGATGTTTTGAAAGAGAATGAGAAAAGAAGAGAGCAAGAGAAAGAGAGAGAGAGAGAGAGAGAGATGTGTTGAAATTCTCAGACTTTATACGCGAGTAGGTACTTTCTTTCATGCCTAAAGCTGTATAATCACTCATCTCCGTCAAAGATCAAGTGACTCATTACGTTAATTGCACCAGTCAATTAACGTACAAATTGAATCAATTTATAGATTTTTTTAATCTACTAATTGACAATCAATGTAATACCTTCAGTTTATAAGCGTGTACGTGACAAAAATAAAACCAATTTTCAAAAAACAAAAAAAAGAACAATACTAAAATAATAATAATAATAATAATAATAATAATAATAATAATAATAATAATACACTGAAAAAAAATTTATATAATTCAAATAATCGATTACTTGATTTCTATTAAATAAATATTTATTTGTATCAAATAATTATTATTTAAGTCAATTAAATATTTAAATAATAGTTAATAATAAATAATAGTTAAGTAACAAATTATTTGAATTAATTTAATTTTTTTTTTCAGTGTATTTACATTATTTTTAACTAAAAATTATTATAGAATTTATACAGAAAAACTTGGTTAAAGACGTTTATCCACGAAAATGCAGACCTCAAGAAAAATTAATTAATTAACATTTAAATAATTAAAATAATTATTAATTTTACTTTCGGAAAAAATAAATATTAATTTTTAAGAAAAAAAAATTTTAAACCTACAAAATTAATTTTTTTGTACAATTTGCATAGGATAAAATTTTCATTTTATACAATTTGTTTAAATAAATAAATTTTGTAGATTAAAAATTTTTTTTCTTGAAAATTAATATTTATTTTTTTCAGAAAAGTAAAATTAATAATTATTTTCATTATTTAAATGTTAATTAATTAATTTTTTTCTGGAGGTCTGCATTTCCGTGGATAAATATCCTTAAGTGAGACGAAAAAATACTGTTTTTTTTTTTTTTTTTTACTATTATTTATGTTATTTACTAGTTATTTATGATAAAATACTAAAAATTTGAATCACATAAAACTCGACTAAATTCGAATGTGTTAAATTAAAATTCAGTTTAATTAAAATTATTTTAAATAACAATTTCTTTAAAAAGAAATTCTCAAAAATAAAAATTCTGACAAATAAAAATTCGATAGCCAAAAATTTTATTAAGTAAAAAATTTGTTTAAAAAACAAATGCTTTGCCCATATATTTTCAATAAATAAATAAATAAAAAAAAAATTCTGTCAAATGGTTTTTTCAAAAATGAAAACTCATCGAAAAAATAATCTTTATAAAATTCTTTGAAAAGAAAATTCTATACGATTTTTATAAAATAATCATGCGCCCCATAAAAATTAAAAATATCACTGAAAAAAAAAAAAATTTATTTGATTCAAATAATCGGTTACTTGACTATTATCAAATAAATATTTATAGTTGAACCAAATAAATATTGAACCAAATAATTTTTATTTGAACCAATAATTTCTGTATTTAAAATACAAATATCATTTAATTGACTGAAATAAAAATTATTTGGTTCAAGTAAATATTTATTTAATAATAGTCAAGTAACCGATTATTTGAATCAAATAAATTTATTTTCAGTGTAGAAATAAATATTTTTTTTTCTTCACCTGATCAATAAAAAGAAGTTCTGCATTATTTTGCACTTGATATCCCAAATCGAGTAATTCTTGAACATCGTGAGTAAAGGCCGCATCAGCTTTTGATGGTAATGCCAAAGTATCATTGTTCAGTGCCGAACTAAATGCAGTAAGAGCGTCCTCCCAACAGTAAAGTGCCTTTTCCAGTGCCTCCAGCCCTGTACCGTTGATTCACACTGCATTACACATCCGTTTACTTCTAGAGATTTATCATTATTGCCGCTATTAAGCGTTATATTAAACTTATTTTTTTTTTTTTTTAATTTGAATATCTCTATCTCTCCCATAACATTATTATAAGATTAACTGATGTCATCCATCAGACATATACAATTTCAAATCAGACTAATTCGAGAAATGATATTGCAATTTTAATGTATACAAACGTAACGGAAAAAATAACCAACACCTATAAACGAAAAAAAAAAAGATTTACCTGGAACAGCGAAACATTTCACTATAATAGCAAACGTTTTACTTGTTTCAATTACATATTTTGCTATTCTAGTCAAACATTTCTCTGTTTCAGGTAAATCTTTTTTTCCTTTTACTTATATAAAAAATATAACGAAAAATTTTCAATATTGAGAAATAAACGAAAAATAAACTATCAACTTCAAAATAGAAAAAGAGAAACTAACACAATGAATAAGACGAAGAAAAAAGAATCACTTAAAATAATCAGTTACTCGACTATTATCAAATAAATATTTATTTGTCTTCCTATATTACAAAAAGATATCGCCGCCGCCGCCGACGCTGTTTCAAGAATTCTTGACCTAGGAGGGGGGAGTTCCCCCTCCTAAGTTTTGAGGTTATGTTCGTTCCAAGGCTCTTAATATAGCCGCAAGTCCCCCCTCCCTCCTCTCATTTCCCCTCCTCCGCTAAAATGGCCAAAATTTTAAGGTTATGTTCGTTTCAAGACTCTGAATATAGCCGCAAATCCCTCCCCTCCCTCGCCAGAAACGACCTAAATTTTGAGGTTATGTTCGTTTCAAGACTCTGAATATAGCCGCAAGTCCCCCCCTCCCTCCTCTTATTTCCCCTCCCGCGCCAGAAATGACCTAAATTTTGAGGTTATGTTCGTTTCAAGACTTTTTAATAATTTATTGGTTTTTAAGCAATTTTATTGAAATTATATTTAAAAATAATTTCTTAATGTCGATTTTAATTTATTTAATTATTTATTTATTATTAATTTAATTAATTTATTAATTAAAATTTAATAATTTTAATTTTAATAATATTTATTCAGATTTCAATGAATTTGCAATAATAATTCTTTGAAATTGGTGGTTCATTTGGAAAAATAAGATCAATGGAAAATTAAAAAATAATGATTAAAACAGGGGGGTTGGCGCGCGAAGCGCGCAGGGGGGCATAGCCCCTCTAGTATTAAATAAATATTTGTTACAACACTATTATTTGAGTCAATTAAATGATATTTGTTTCAAATATAGAAATTATTGAAATACAAAAAATTATTTTAATACAATTTATTTAATTCAAATAAAAATTATTTAGTTCAAATAAATATTTATTTAATAGTCAAGTAACCGATTATTAGAATCAAATAATTTTTTTCTTCAATTAAACAATGTTTAGTTGATTCAACTAAATTATAAAATTAAGCTTTCATTTCATGGTAAAAAAAAATTTACTTGAAACAGCGAAATATTTCACTAGAATAGCAAAAGATTTAATTGAACCAAGCAAAACTTTTGCTACTATAGTGAAACGTTTTGCTGTTCTAAGGTAAATTTTTTTTCAGTGTTGAATAAACCAAATGATTATTATTTATTGGAATGAACCAAATTTTTATTTGAATTAACTAAACTTTTTAATTGTGTTATATAAAATAGGGTAATTACACTGTTTGATTAAATTAAATTAACATTTACGTATAAGAAAACGTAAAAAATCTTAAGTGGATTTTTACAGAAAAAATTAAATAAAAATTAGATTAAATAGAAATGATCCAAAAATTTAAAAAAAAATCATTTTTCGACAAATTTCCGCGATGAATATATAATTAAGCAGATATTGTCCTTGAGGAAACGATCAACAAGTCAATTTGCATTTGAAAATGAGATTATATTCATATAATTTCTTAATTCCATAAGCGGCGAATATATTATATATATAATATATATTAAAAGATTAAAAAGAACCATTCAAATCGTCAAATTTTCTACGAATTATGAATTAGGATAAAGCGCGCATTAAAATTTATAATATATCTTTTCAACAGAAATTTATTTATGTTTTTAAAATTAAGATATTAACATTAAAATGGTTTTTATTAGGTTTTTGATTGAAATAAAAAGAATATATATATAAATGTTTATACAATTCCAAAGTTAATATTGCAATCTGCAAAAGTTTAATTTTATTTATATTATAACTGCGCCAAAAGAATTTGCCAACTAATCGATAATTTTCAGAATCAAAAGGTTATAAAACAAAACATATAATTTAAAACAAGCAATCTTTTTGAGGATCTACGTGAAATTAAATCACGTATGTTTTATAATGAGATTGCAAAAATATAATCGTAATACTGTTATATTTGTGTAACATATATATATATATCGTATATCCTTGAACTGTAATCAACATTATGCGCATTTGTATGATCTCAATAATAATTACAGATTAATATCATGTAAAAGAAAATCATTCATTTCTAATTGACGATTGAAGACTCTTTTATCGTTTATAGATATCATTTTTTTCAACTTAGTTTCACCATCAGAAAATAAAGTAAGTATTAAGAAATTATATAATTTTAATCGTATATAATTCTCTCATAAAAAGAATTTATTAGAATAATAATTTTAAAATTTTAATTCCATATAGTAATGATTTTAAATTTCGCGCCAAAATTTATAATAATTTTCTGCCTTTGAAATTTATCAAAAGAAACTTTCTAAATTTGAATCAGTGAAATTTCACTGACAAAATTGGAATTTAGCAACTGAATCATTTCAGTAAAATTTTCACTGAAATTCAGTCGCACATTTGACTGAAAATCAGTAGAATTATTACTGATTTAAAAATTAAAATCTGCATTATCATTAATCGGTAAAACAGATTTGACTGTTTTAAATCTGCATTGCCATTAATCGGTAAAACAGATTTGATTGTTTCAAATCTGCATTGCCATTAAACGGTAAAACAGATTTGACTGTTTCAAATCTGCATTGCCATTAATCGGTAAAACAGATTCGATTGTTTCAATCAGTAAAGAATTCTAGTAAATTTTCAGTGAAATACGACTGAATTTCAGTGGAAATTTTACTGAAGTGATTCAGTAGTTTTTAACTATTTCAAATTTAAAATATTATTTTTATTTGGCTAAATAGAAATGCAGCAAAATTTCAAGTAAAAATCCCATTAAATAAAAATTTAATTAAAAATTTTTGAATTTAAAAATTTAGTTTACAATTATTTCTATTAAAAAATTCTAATAAATATAGAAATTTAAACAAAATTCCACAATATAATTTTCTATAACATGACATTTTATAAACTTTCTATTATTTTCGCATGTTGGAGGAATATATAACATTTAATTAACTAATTTCAAAACTATTTTGCGTAATATTTCCTGACTAATAAAAAGACATCGATTTCTCGTCCCTTGCAGTGTTTATATACACCTTTTGCCTATTAACTCGGTTTTAAACCCCACCCTAAAGAGGTTTCAGGACCTTTCCAAATTGGCAACGAGGTGAATGATTCAAGCAATTAAGTATAGTATATAACTGAGAGAGAGAGAGAGAGAAATTATGAGCGTTAATTAAAGACTCGACTCTACTACACCGCTCGTCTATAATTTCCTATGTAATTTTTTTTTTTTTTTTTACTAACTATTCTCATTTTGAAAAATGTTGATTATCTAACTGTTTATAAGAGAATTTTTAAGGACAATAAATTTATTTTACAGAAAAATAAATTCTTCTTTAAGGGTACTTAGACTATTAACATAACCTCAATCTAAAAAGTTCACAATAAATAAAAGTACAAATAAAATTAATTTTATCAAATTTTGAAATTTCTATATTAAAAACTACTTTACAGTTTGAGGTTATGTTAATGGGTTGAACCTCCTTAAAAAATTAAATAAAAAAGAGAATAGTACAAAAAAAAAATTATTATTTTGCATTTTTGCGAAATTCTATAAAAGTTGTTAATCGGATAACGACTGTTATTTGGAACAAAGTTGCCTAAGTGTCTTTCATGTTTTCAATACACTGAACGCGAGTATACATAAAGAAGATTATGCGTCCTTTGGCAATATGTACGTTTAAATGGAAACAAAGTGCTTTGTGGCTCACGTCAAAGATTTAAATCTTTTGTCTTCATTATATATACACAAAGTGTGCTAAAAAAAAACTAAAACAATATTTATAACTTATCAAAGGAGGTTATATTTTTTTTTCTAACATCATTTGGATCCTAAAAACATATACTAGGTGCTGCCAAAAAAAAAAGAAAATTTTAATTTTCCACACTTTAAGAATTTTCATTTTTTGAAAAAATTAAAATTTTTTGACTATGGTCAAAAATTAAAATTTTCATTTTTTGACCACTTTGTATGTTTTTAGGACCAAAATGATGCAAGAAAAAAAAACCATAGCTATAAAAAGAACCATAGCATCGGTTACTATAGCAACAGTTACCATAGCAACCATAGCAACGGTTACCATAGAAACGTGATTACTATCACAGAAAATTAAAAGGCATTAGTTACTGCGGCATTAGTTACTGTGGCTTTAGTTACTGTGGCATTAGTTACTGTGGCATTAGTTACTGTGGCATTAGTTACTGTGGCATTAGTTACTGTGGCATTAGTTACTGTGGCATTAGTTACTGTGGCATTAGTTACTGTGGCATTAGTTACTGTGGCATTAGTTACTGTGGCATTAGTTACTGTGGCATTAGTTACTGTGGCATTAGTTACTGCGGCATTAGTTACTGTGGCATTAGTTACTGTGGCATTAGTTACTGTGGCATTAGTTACTGTGGCATTAGTTACTGTGGCATTAGTTACTGTGGCATTAGTTACTGTGGCATTAGTTACTGCGGAATTAGTTACTGCGGCATTAGTTACTGTCACAAAAAATTTAAAGGCATTAAAATAAGCTGCAACGCT